CGGAGGCATTTCTGGTCCGGCCGCAGGCTGAGGAAGTGCTTCACTCGGAGCAAGGATCTGATCGGTGTGGAATTTCCCAAACAACCTACGGCGTTTTGGTTGCTGCTCCAGGTGAAAAGTGGAACTGAGGTCCTCGCCGCATTTGCAAACGGAACAAAGCATCGCCTACTAGGAGATAAACTTTTTTTCGGATTTTCAGTCTGCAGAAATCTGCTCAGCCAATTTCAAAGACTTGGCGGCATTCAAATGATTCCATTGGCTCGATGGTGCGCATCTAGGGGACACCCAAATATGCTTGGGTCGGATTTTCCAGAGCATATCATGCAGTTTTGTTCGGCCATGAAAAGTGGACACGTCCCCTGGTTTTTCACCAAATCGAACCGATCTCAATCCCAACTTGGAGCTTTGGTAGGTCAGCTGACTTTGTTCCGTGCAATACACGTCAAGAAGGTCTCATTTTGAAGCTGCCAGTGCCGCATGAGCTGTTCCTGGGACATGTGACCATGTTGAGCATGAAAATGGTGATGTGGGATACGGTGGATTGGATTGCTGGCGTGGTGAACTTTTAAAGAAGGCTGCCAAAAACAGACCTCAGCATTTCCATGATGTCCAGGACATTGATTTCAGGAGAACTATGATGCTGTATAAAGAACTCGATAGAAAAGCCCTGACTACAGCTGATGAGAACGTGTTTATGCAACAAGGAGTTTTGCGTAGGTTGTTAGTTGGGGGTCTCATGACTGAAGAAAGAGATGCCCGTCACTGAAAGGATGCCCAATGCATGACATGTCCATGCGGCCAAGAACCCACGGTTTTACATATCTCTTGGACTTGCCCCCTTTTTTCAGACATTCGCAAGCCAATTGCTCATATCGATTTCCAAAAACTACCAACATGCACACAATATGCAGCTCTCATTCCTAACAGTTTAACTATGTCAGATCAGCAGATCATACTCATACAGCAAACTCTTGTGCTCATATGGCAAGCTTATATCCAGGATTATAAATCTGGTAAACGATCAGAATTGTCCCAGAACGCCGAGCATGGTGAAGTTCCGGCTGTAGACCAGAACGGACATATGTTGAAGCCTAGACAGAGCAATCAGCCTGGTGTTTGGTGTTGCAAGTGTGGCAAGTATGTAGCTCGGTCTAAGCACATTCGTCTTAAGATCACTAACAAACCCTGCTTTCAAAAGAATTCCACAGTTATTCTCGAACAGGACGGTTTTCATCAGAGTGAAAAACGTTTAGATGATGCGCTTGATAAGCTCCTAAAAGACTATAAGGCCAAAAGTAAACATACCCTTGAATGGAATCGTAAACTCGGAAAGATCGTTGGCAGGGAAGATGAGGGGAAGATCAACTGCACCGCTTGTGGCCGAACATGGAAATGGAAGGATAGAGCTAACATGAGAAACACTATTTGTAAACCCATTCGCCCACAGAAAAACATTGTGCCGCCTCAACGCAGTGCCGACCCTGTCGTGCCATCAGCGCGTCTTCGCCAGAAGACTACCCCTGAAAATGTGTCCCAATTTAAGACCTCAAAGCATGATATTCCCAGTTCAAGTACAGACAATGCCAGTAGCTCCACCTTGCATCCGCAACCTCCAGGTTCATCCAATGATGACGTGGTTCGACGCAAAGGTATCGGCTGAGCTGGCCAAGATGGGAGCCTTTGCGCTTTTACGGGCAATTGCTCCTGCAAGACCCGACTTCTGGGATCCATGGCATGTCCTCTTCGGACCAACTGTCCTGACTCACAGTGTCCAGCTTGTCGGACGGGGCTGCGCGGCTCTTGGCTTTCAGGGCCATATGTGGAACAACGGGCTTCTGGTGGACTTGGGTTTCGATCCCCTGGGTCAAGTCCTGTCTTTCCACATAGTGACAAATAGAGGTTGATGAAGTACAGGAGTGCTTTGTGGGTCTCCTTCTGACTGTCCCCATACTTTCGTGTGAACCATTGAACATACTTGGGGTCTGTCTGAATCACTTCTTGGAACGTTTGTCCCACCCTGGCCTCTCCGAACGCAATGGGCGTGGCGTCTTGGACAGCTCCTCGTAGGACTTCTTCTGATGCTCCTCGGTTTTGGCATGGGCGGTCACTGCCTGGAAACGATCTGCCAGAGACATCGACGGCATGACTGGATGGACACAAGAGTTCAGACTTGATCGCAGGAGAGCACGTTGGGTTCACCGGAACTCTTGAGTTCTCACAAATGCTCGGCTGAGGCACATGGGTGGTTGTGTTCATGGCTGAATGAGGATTCACAACCTCATCTGTGACGGCTGACATGATGGACGGACATTGGACTGCTCACCTGATGGACATCTGAGGCCTGAACCTGAGCTTTTCGGATGAGTTCACAAAAGTCGACCAAATACAGTTTCTTTTCAGTCAGCATCAGTGGCATGGTGGTTTGGATCTTGGAAAAAAACACGGTGTCCTGTGCGGTGTCGATTTGAGCACCCTGAGTTCTTAAAACATTGTTGGAAAATCAAGAATGGAGTTTTGGTTTCAACTACACAAATTTTGAAATTCCACTGGTTGAGAGGGACTAGGAGTGCTTCACGACATGACACTGTGCTGCCTGTGCTGCTATTGCCGAAACGGAAAATGGTCTGGCATGGCACTTTCTGAACTTGGGCTGCAACGGCAACGGGCAAATTCTTGAGAAGGTCTGGCACCTGCTGGCGACCAATGACAGTTTGACTTGCCCCCATGTCCATGATTCCAAATGGGCCATGGCTCACAAACATAGCTACACTCTCCGGACCCTTTGGGACCGGTGACATTTCAGGCATGGCGGATATCAGTGAACTCGGATGGTCCACTCGGACGGATGGCTCAGAGGACTTTTCAGGCTGAGGGCTTAGTAGGCTCTTCAGGGAATTCACAAACCTAGACAGCATCGGACCGGACAGTCTCGGATTATGATTATCCCCAGAAACATTACTAATCCCCACTAAACAGTCATAACAGCTTGGAGACAACTTTTGGACATCACACAGGGCCTTGGCTGCAGTGGCATGTCGGATTCGGCTTCACCATCGATGACGTCCAACGTTCCAGCAAAGGCACCGATCTCTTTGGAGTTGGAATTCGATTGAGCCCCAGACGAACAGGCTAACGGGCACTCGGCCTTCCAATGCCCCTTCTGGCCGCATCGCCGCCACTCAGACTCCAGAATCCGTTGGGCCAATGGTTTACAGAACCGGCTGCCCCATTTCCCTTTTCCCTTCCCTTTGCCTTTGGCATTCCCAGAAAAAATTTGGAGCTTCCCCAGACACCACGATTCTTGTTGCGGCCTGATAGTCATTTTCTGGCATCCAAGTAGGTGCTGCAACAAGCCGCAAGCTCACCATCACTTTGTAATGCTTCAGCAAGGCTATCTTCAAACTGCAAGCAGACTATGGCATCGGGGTCGCTCTCATCCAAAGGTGGTTCATGTTCATCCCAGTAACCCCCAACGAAGGCGACATCATCCTCATTGGTTTCTCCCTGGTTTCATCCTCAAATATTGCATTGACATCATAGGTTTTGCTACGCGACACAGATCTGCTTCCAGATTGCAGCTCATGCAAGAATCGGGATCCCAAGAGTTTCAAAGATGAGACAATGTTCTTGTATTTCAAATCTCCATCGGCATCCACTATCAGTTTCTTTTTGTCTTCCGCACCAAGCCCCGAATTGCGCAAGAGCACATAGGCGCGGTCTTCTTCAAAACCAACACCCATTTGGAGCAGTTCTTCAAACTGATACATGTCTTGCTAAGTAACTTTCATGGGATTAATTCATCGGATCTTCGAACAGTGGAAAAAATGGCACGCTCAAACCTCTCGAACTTCTCTTCAAGGTTGCTTTTCCCACAGATTCCGCCAGGGGTTTGCACTAAGAGCTTCGCTCCATCCACTGAGTTGACTTTGAGCTTCTCAGGAGCAATCCGCATCACCTTTTTGAATGCACTGCCCTCACAGAGCACGGCCGCACGGGACGACAAATGCCACAAACTGGCCAAGAATTCCAGTTTCTTTACGTACTCATTGATCTCAGCCTCGCCAGGCTTGAAAGATGGTATCATTGTCCAGGGCACATGGGACAGCGATGTCGATGTAGTTCCACCTGAACCCTGTACTGGGCCACCTTCAAGTGATGACATCCTGGATCAAAAAGGCTTCCAGTGAGTCCTTGTCAAAGACACCTCAACTGGCCTTGGTAGCCCCGCTACCAGTGTACTTGCATACACGGGCAGCCACTCACCACAGGACCTCCGGATCAACACGCAAATTGCCTTCCCAAGGCCCGCACAACGCTGATTTTCCAATGGCACACTTCTGCGATCCCACGCAAGAAAGGTTTAAAGATTGCTCGACCACCTGGCCCTCCTGAGCCATCGATCCACTGGCATTCAAAGGCGCATCCCCGCTGGAGTGAGGTATGGAACCTCCAAAAGACAACTCGTTGTCAGATCACATTCTGCATGTTCCAACGAATGTCAAGGTTAGACAGCAAAATCACAATATACAAACGCACACATATATATATATACACACATACAAATCACATATACATACATATTTTTATGTATACATACATACAGATACAGATACAGATACAGATACATATATATATATACATACATATACATATACATATACATATACATATACATATACATACATACAGACAGACAGACAGACATACATACATACATCTTTATCTATATCTATATCTATATCTATATATATATATACACATACATATTTTTGTAAATAAATAGATAAATATAAATATATATATATACATTTTTACATACATACATTTATATCTAAATTTAGATACACACGCATATATACATATACACATACGTGTATGTATGTATGTATGTATGTATGCATACATGCATACATACATATATATATATACATAGATTTAATTGTATACATATATACAAATCAACATCAACCTTTTCATTTTTATGGGACTTCGGATGCGAGGACTGGCCAAAGGGATATGCCAGAAAAGGGCTTGCAGAATTCTTCCTCAAGCGGCCTGGTCCACAGAGCGCAGATCGAACTTTGGGCTTGGCAATTCTAACTTGAGCGATGGTATCCGATGGTAGTGAAGTCAGTTTCAGTTCCTGCTACTTCCTGATGGTACTGAACGTTGCCAGCGCCTGCCGGGAGTGTTTTGATTCATATAGGTATGATGAGGCCGCTGAGACTTACAAAAAGGGCCTGGAATTGGCACCCGAGGACTTGCAATAATTGCCTTGCACAGAGTGTGCAGACTGCACCGTCGGACCGGTTTCAATCCGGAATGCTTTCGCCCCACAAGGATCCCTCTTTGAAGGAGGGGCTGCAGAAGGCAATTCAGCTCTACATTCCATGTGAATTTCAGCGAAACATTTGAAACAAATGTGTTTTTTTCTAACGCGACCTGCTCTGAGCAAATGCTTTGCAAATGTGTGAGAAAAAATGTTTTGGGCATCTCACCAAGTTTTCAGGGTCATGGTCTTGAGAATGAATGTTGCAGGTGATGGATGCGAAATATGACGTGTTGCGATGCTCAGAAAAATCATGCACTCTCTTGAACCATTTTCCTTCTTCCCGAGAGCGTATGAGCGCAGGGTTCTTCCAATAGTGGGGGTCTGTAAAACATCTTCTCCTCTTCACATCTTCCCATCTTCACATCCTCACATCTTCCCATCTTCACATCCTCACATCTTCACATCTTCAGATCCTCTCATCTTCACATCATCACATCCTCTCATCTTCACATCCTCACATCTTCACAGCTGCTCATCTTCACATCGTCACATCTTCACATCCTCTCATCTTCACATCTTCTCATCTTCACATCTGCTCATTCTTCACATCTTCTCCTCTTCACATCTTCCCATCTTCACATCCTCACATCTTCACATCTTCTCATCTTCAAATCTTCACATCTTCACATCCTCTCATCTTCACATCCTCTCATCTTCACATCCTCACATCTTCACAGCTGCTCATCTTCACATCTTCACATCTTCACATCCTCTCATCTTCACATCTTCACATCTTCACATCTGCTCATTCTTCACATCCTCACATCTTCACATCTTCTCCTCTTGCCCTCTTGCCTTCTCCTTCTTTTCTTTTTCTCTCTTGAAGGCGCGGGGCAGTGCCAACGAGACGGCACGAAACGCAACCCTTTCGCACGAAATGAGGTTCGATCGCCAAAAACTGCGGTAAAATTGCGATTTGCAAGTCGTCCGGCGCAACCCTTTCGCACGAAATGCGGTTCGATCGCCAAAAACTGAAGTAAAATTGTGATTTCCAGTCGTCCGGCACAACCCTTTCACACGAAATGAGGTTCGATCGCCAAAAACTGAAGTAAAATTGCGATTTCCGGGTTCCCGTCGCAACACTTTCGCACGAAATGAGTTTCGATCGCCAAAAGCTGCGGTAAAATTGCGATTCCTCTTGTCCAATCGCAACCCTTTCGCACGAAATGAGGTTCGATCGCCAAAAACTGAGGTAAAATTGCGATTTCAACTTGTCCCGTGCAACCCTTTCGCATGAAATCAGGTTCGATCGCCAAAAACTGGGGTAAAATTGCAATTTCTTCTGTGTGTAAACGTGTCTGTGTAAAAGCTTCTGTGTGCTGTGTGTAAAAGCTTCTGTGTGTAAAAGCATCTGTGTGTAAAAGCCTCTGTGGTGTAAAGTGTAAAAGCGTCTTTGTGTAAAAGCGTTTGTGTGTAAAAGTGCCTGTGTGTAAAAGTGTCTGTGTGTAAAAGCTTCTGTGTGTAAAAGCTTCTGTGTGTAAAAGCGTCTGTGTGTAAAAGTGTCTGTGTGTAAACGCGTCTGTGTGTAAAACCTTGCGTGTGTAAAAGCGTCTGTGTGTAAAGGCGTCTGTGTGTAAAACTGTCTGTGTGTAAAAGCGTCTGTATGCAAAAGCGTTTGTGTGTAAAAGTGCCTGTGTGTAAACGTGTCTGTGTGTAAAAGCTTCTGTGTGTAAAAGCTTCTGTGTGTAAAAGCGTCTGTGTGTAAAAGTGTCTGTGTGTAAAAGCGTCTGTGTGTAAAACCTTGCGTGTGTAAAAGGGTCTGTGTGTAAAAGCTTTCTGGGTGGAAAAGCGTCTGTGTGTATATAAAAGCTTTTGTGTGTAAATGTGTCTGTGTGTGAAAAACTATTTGAAAGATACGATGCAAACTATTGTCTTGTACTTGTGCTATATTGTCTTGATACTACTCTTCTCGTCTGCCCTAAGACATCTTTAATATATTGTTTTGAAATATGGTGTCTCCATACTAACAAGAGAAGACCCTGCTCCTCTACGCTCTCGGGCCATCCGTCGTCTAGTTTGAACTATATTTGCATTCTTTGCCTTCATTGCTTATTTGTAAGTATTGGAAGCTCTGAGTTGCGGCAGTTCAGTGTCCAACCATGTGAAACGACGGGAAACTTCCTTCCGACAGTTGCCTCAGACTTAACTTCAGCCTGGAAATCTGTTTGAAGTTTGAAGCGTGTTTGAAGTGTGTGTGAAGTTTGTCTAAAGGTCTCCTGCAGCCTCTAGCTCTGACTCTGCTGGATGCTTATTTCCAAGCTCCTTCAAACTTTGTTGTGACCCGTTAGTCTCCCAAGCTCACAGCCAATGCTCCCGGGAATGTGTAGATCATACTCATTATATTATTCGGCTCGTGCACGGTTTCTGTGGCCTCATATCTGCAGAGCATTTTTCCATAGTCGATTCCATACCGAACAAACAGGTAATGACAGAGGCACTGGTCAGGCTATTTTACGTTCGTTCTGGCTTGACTCGGTCTCGCGTACTGAGGCCGAGGATCTGTTTGGGAAGGCGCGGCTCCGGTGCATGCGTGTCAGAAAACAACCGTTTCATCAATTTGATCCATAGTTACTTGGGGCACAGAGCGTGCAAAGAGTGGCTTCAGTGCTTACATTTTGGTGGCTGGACAGTTCGATGCGAACTCCCTCACCATGGCAGCTGCGCGGAACCCCCGAGTGAAAGAGCACCTTCATTGATTTGACATGTTCACACAAATCAGACAAGAATCAGACGCAACACGGTGTATATGATTCACTGAACATACATTTCGAAGACTGACTGCAACGCACGGCGGTCTTTGAAATCAATGGGCTCGATCTGACTCATGCTGTGAGGTACATGAAGGATAGCAAGTTTATGCAGCGGATAAATGCTCTGATGGGCATGAGCAGTGCGGGACCTGTCAAGCAGCCTTATAAAGTGGCTAAAACTAGGTCCTAGTATCTACGTGTAAGAGCTCCAGTCTGCTAGAACGTGTTTCAACAAAGCTCGGGTACTAAGGTGCTGTGGGCCCACTGAAAGAGCAAATGCTAGTGCAGCTCATCCAGGAGGAACCTGACATGTGATATGCCTTGATCGGAGGCTGAAGTCGCAGCACCAGATGTGAGGATTGGCAGTTGATGTGCCTCTGCTTTGGCCGTGCCATTTTCTTTGTAGAAATGCATCCTTCTGTTTTCGCTTCTCAGAGCTTGGCCAGACAGACAGGACCCACGAGTCCTCGAGGCACGGGATGTTGCCTTTCGGATGGATCCTTCATAATTTTTTTCAACCTGAATGCAGGAGAAACAATTAGTCTGCAAGAGACTGGATATTTCCAGGACTGCTCTCAGCATGTATCTTTTTTTCCAACCTTCAGGCGATGGCTGCTGCGCAAGGATTGCTTGTTACAAGGGGCTCCGACGCACAACCTCCGCCAGCTCCTGCAGCTACTCCAGCCGCGCCTACGGAAGCTTCACTGCCAAAGGCAGCTCCGCATTCTCTGGGACAATTTGTAGCCAAAGAGTCCGAAGCCTCCGGAGGGTCCGAAGCGTCCAAATAGCGGGGATGTTTTGATTCGAAGCTGTTGAAGCGCAGAAAGTGGCCTTCTTCATCCTTTTTCAATGTGTGGGCAACTTTCCACCTCTCTTATTCCCGCTGGCGCATGTGTTCAGTCCCTTGAACCAGAGTTGGCCCACCGCCCGGGGTTTCAGTGCGTTTTTTCTTGCATTTATGAAGATGATGCTGCGTTAGTGGACTTCTCGGTGATGATAGCAGCTGGCACGGAGGGGTGATGGGGTGGGCGGGGTGTTAGCGTTCCTTGAGCTTGTGTCATGAAGATGATGCTACGCTACGGCACGTTGTCTTGGAAGTTGCTTCATGTACTGTAATTGTGGGGTCAGGGGTGGGCGGGTGTGTTAACCTTCCTTGCACTTGCAGCTTGAAGATGATGCTATGCTACGGCACGTTGTCTTGGAAGTTGCTGCATGTAATTTTGGGGTCAGGGGTGGGCCGGTGTGTAAGCCTTCCTTGCGCTTGCGTTATGAACATGATGCTACGCTACGGCACGTTATCTTGGAAGTTGCTTCATGCCTTGCGCTTGCGTTTTGAAGATGATGCTACGCCACGGCACGTTATCTTGGAAGTTGCTTTATGTAACAGAGGCACAGTGTAGCTGAAGACTTCGGAAAACTTACTGAATTCCCATGGTCCAAAAACCAGACATGTTTCCGCCATAGAATTACGTGTTTAAAGAACTCATAAAATTCCAGAAAAACTCAATAGTTGTCCTCAACTTGATATGAGGTTTTAGCACCAAATTAGACCGGAAACTAGCATTTTCAATCACTGTAATTACGCATACCCGTATTGCAAGATTCTTGCCCAATGTAATTGCGCACATTCAATGTACTTGGAATATAAAAAATGTAATGTCATAGCAACTTGGTCCGCTGTGAGCGGCGGACCAAGTTGCCAGTAGTTAGGCAGGGGCCTGCCAGGAGGCAACAGAAGAACACTGCCACAATCCATTGATCTCTTGTGATTTGAGGCCGCTGAAGAGAGCTCAGAGCAAAAGCAGGTGGAGGGTTGTGCACAGTGCACACTTAAAAACAACTATATAGACAATATACGTAAGGTCCAGTTTATTCTTCGATTCTTCCACTTGTATAAAAAAAATGCCAGGCTGACAAATTGAAAGCTGAAGGCAATCGCTTGTACAAAAAGCGTCTCGGCGAGATCTAGGCTTGCACTAAGTCTTGTCAGGTCTTGTTCCACAATGTTGTTGTGCTGTCATCCTAGCCTTGTGAACTTCCGTCCTTGAAATCTGCAGATGCCCTCTTTGAGGTGAAGGGTCGTATCCTTTGGGTGCAGTCAGGTTAGCCACAGCTGACAACAATAATTGGGGGGCATGAATTCACATAAATGATGTCTTGTAATTGATTCCTCCTGATTTTCATTGTTGACCGTCTTGCCCCTTGGTTACTTAAAAAAAGGGTTGCTATCTGGGACCATCTTTCCCGAGGCTGCACAATTTTCATTCAGACTAGGAAAGATGGTTCCAATATACTTCGCTCCACTAGGAAAAAACCAGGACTGTCTGCCATGCATTTCTTGCACATGAGGCGAAAGTTCAGCGAAGCACTGGAAATGTATGACAAGGCATGCAGCTGCTCCTGAAGTCATGTCCAAAAGTTCCTGGTGTGAAATGAAGTGTGGGTGATGGTTTGGGTCCATTTTGGCAGTTTTGGGACTTTGGAAATGGAGGCCCTCGAGAGAGTTCCTGATGACCTCACCTACCACAACAACAAGCGCTTCCGCTGCATCCGGATTCCTGTTGTCTAGTGGACAGGCTATCGGGCTCTGAAGTCCAGAGAACCTGCAAGCTCTTTCCAGGGCTCTGCATGTCCAGAGCAGTGACGTGATTTCATTTCCTTGTGCGAAAGACATCGTAACTACTTGCAACTCAAGTCACATGATGTGTACGCCTTCTTAGGTGTGCAGTGTGGATGGAGATGGGCGAAGAAAACTACCCGAAGGTTTGTGCGTCGGTGATGTGACTAGCTGTTGAGTACGTGACGAGTCTCCTAAGTTTCGTTCTGAGAGTGCAAGGATTTATCCGTCTTGCCTTTCTCGTTGTCAGGTTCTCAAAACCTGTGCCGACTCTCAGCGAGTTGAAATGCACCGTGCAAGAACTCCAACCAGATCGCTAGAATCATTAGAATCATTAGATAACAGATGGACTCAGATGGACTCAGATGGAACATCATGGAACCAAGGTGAAGACCTTATCTCCCAACGCTACGACATCAACTCCAGAAATCCAGGAGGAGCATCCTTCGAAAAAGTTGCAAAGGTCAGCCCGCACGTGAAAATGAAACAGATTGAATTTCGATTGAAAAAGTGTATATATATATATATGCATTAAAATATATAGAGAGTGCCAATACTATAGCTGAATGCTAAAGCTGCTAAAGGCCCCAAGGGCTCTCAAGATCTCCTTCTCTTCAACCCGACATGCTACAGACTTCTACGCATACAGTGCAAAGAGATGTACTGTATAATGTGCAAACTCACGGAAAGACAGATGGTTTCCACATATCCTTGCGGAGTGAAGTGGAGGTGTACCTCAGAATGGCCTCTGTGTTTGAAAAGCAAGAGAGATTTGAGGAGGCCATTGCTATGTGAGCCATGCTGCTTAGATAATCCTTAGCACGGCACATGGGACCGGGTGAGCTGCGCGTGAGCTGCACTGGTTTGGAAAACTTGGAAAGCTACGCGGTGGATCGATGCCAGGGTCCCGTCCACACTACTCCCTCCAGGTACAACAAAGCCTTGACGGAAGACAATAACAAACAAACCAGAAATGCTCTCAGAGAAGCAGAGAGAGCGAAGGCAGGGGATGATTTGGACAGATGCATCAGATGCAGCCGGCAGTCTCCAGATCTTGACATGTCTTGATATGACTTGACACTGTATGTCTTTCATTTCCTGTCCAAGGAAAAGTTCGAGAAAGCCAGATACGTGGATCCTCAGAAAGCCGAGGAACACAGAGAAAAAGGCCTTCAGAATCCTTCAGAGAGATACGGTAGTATGAACAGTAGCTCGCTGGGAAGGAAGCTGCTTGAAGTTGCAGCAAATGTGACAAGATGTGAAAGGCAATACGTTCTTCAAAGCAAATGACATGGTTGCAGCGAAGCAGGACAGAGTCACAATCCTTTCGCACCGCTACAAGCAGATCTTGGACAGCTGAAACGACCTAGAGAACTTTAAATATGCTGCCAAAAAAGTCATTCTGGCAAAAGGAGTATGATGAAGCCATCCGAAGAAATCCGATGTGCTTTGTTGGCAAGGGCGGCAAGGGTGTTCCACAAGTGTTGAGGTTGCTTTGGATTCATGTTTTCATCAAATGCTGCTTCCTTCTGAGTTGGATTGCCATACTTGTTGGTGGTGAAGCACGCTCCACACCAACAAAAAATTGAGCGACTGATTCGTGTTGTCGCCTGAGTCTACGTGCTGGAGTTTCCACGGTGGATAGTAGTTCGCTTTTCCCCGTGATTAATGCAGATACACTGATAATACACTGATGCCAGCAAGGTTGGAACAAATCATAACAAATCATGATCTCAGGGTTCTTGTTGTCCCACGTACCGTTGCTGTGGCCCACCGTTTTAACCGCGCCGAGGGATGCGAGACTGTACTCAAACAGAGCCGCTGCTCTCACCAAGGCCTTGTTTGTTTCAAATCGGAACACCTGGACAGTGAAGTGTTTGACAATCTTTGGCATTAAAAATCTAATTACAACAACTAACAACTCGCGCACGCTTGGATATCGTCAGACTCAGTTCACATAGAAAGAAAAAGTCTATATCTACAGTACATTAATATCTACATCTAAAACTACATCGAAATAAATAAATAAGTAAATAAATAAATAAAAAAAATATATATACTTATATACACAATTGTATACCAGTAGTGCCGCACAAGGCGGTGGCAGAAGTTTCAAACATAGGAAACCTATAGGAGAGATTGGTTGTTGTGACTCACGGATGGCAGAGCGAATCCACTCATGGACCGGCAGGTGTTTGGAGTTGCGTTTTTTTTTGCAGTGGTTGCAATGGTTGCAGTGGTCACCTCACCACAACTGCTGGATGTAGTGTGGTGTAGTGCAGTTGTAGTTGTAGTTGTCGAAGGAAGTTTAGAAGTCAAACTTCCGACAATATGGACAGATGAAAAGCAGAGATGGGAAGAGTCAGAGAGAAGAGAAGAGTACAAGAGAGAAAAGTAGAAGAGAGAAGATCAGAGAAGAGAAAGAGTCAGAAGAAAGAAGATGCAGGTGCGCGAAAAGTAGGAAAGTCGCGAAACACTGTGTTTTTCCCATGATTTGTGGCTCCGGAGGGTCGAAAAGTAGGCTCGCTAAAGCGGCGGGTGCGGAGGCATCTGGCCAGATGAGAGATGAAAAATTGCACGCCGTTAAGGCGCCAAGCACATTTCGAAGTCAACATGTACAAAGCGCGCCATTCTCGGACCACTTTTGGAAGTTGAGATGTCGAAAAAGTGCACGCCGTTGTGGTGCGAAGTACATTTCGAAGTCAAAATGTACAAAACACCTCAGCTTCGGAGCACTTTTAAGAGTTGCGATGTGGAAAAAGTGCGCCGTTGTGGCGCGAAGCACATTTCGACACCACATGTTCGCGCCACTTTTGGACGTCCAGGTGTCGTTTCGCGTGGCAGGCGCAAGGGATTGTGGACCTTATCAAAAGTGAGCAATACCTGAAGGTTTTGTATCATTTTCAACTACAGCCACCACTACACCACACTATACTCCAACACACTACACTGCAGCTACAGCTACACCTTCACTACATTCCACTACACTACACTGCACTACACTACACTACACTAGAACTACACTACGCTACATTCCACTACACTACACTCCACTACACTCCACTACACTTCACTACACTCAATTACACTACACTACACTACGCTACATTACACTACACTACACTACATTCCACTACACTCCACTACACTACACTCAATTACACTACACTACACTACATTACACTACACTACACTACGCTACACAACACTACACTCCACTACACTCCACTACACTCCACTACACTACAATACACTCAATCACACTACACTACACTACACTACATTCCACTACACCACGCTACACTAACTACAGCTACAGCTACAACAACAACAACAACAACATAAACATACATTTACACTACGCTACTCTACCCTACTCTACGCTACTCTACGCTACTCTACGCTACTCTACGCTACTCTACGCTACTCTACGCTACTCTACGCTACACTACGCTACACTCATTACACTAATTACACTAATTACACTAATTACACTAATTACACTAATTACACTAATTACACTAATTACACTAATTACACTAATTACACTAATTACACTAATTACACTAATTACACTACACTGCACTGCACTACACCTACACCTACGACTGCAACTGTAACGGCAACTACACTACATTACATTGCACTACACTAATGACATTACACTACACTACACTACATTACACTGCGCTGCACTACACTACTCCAATTACATTACACTGCGCTGCACTACACTACGCTACACCCCACTCCACTACACTACAATACACCTCACTATGCTACACTCCACTACACTACAGTACACTACACTCAATTACACTACACGAACTAAAACTACAACTGCAGCTACAACTACAACTACAGTAATTGCATTACACCACGCCACGCCACGCCACACCACACTACACTACACCACACTACACTACGCTACACCACACTACACACTAGACACTAGACACTAGACACTAGACACTAGACACCACACTACACACGACACACTACACTGCGCTACACACTGCACTGCGCTACACACTACACATTACACTGCGCTACACGCTACACTGCGCTACACACTACACTGCGCTACACACTACACTGCGCTACACACTACAGTGCGCTACACACTACACTGCGCTACACACTACACTGCGCTACACAGTACACTGCGCTACACACTACACAGCGCTACACACTACACAGCGCTACACACTACACAGCGCTACACACTACACACTACACACTACACACTACACTGCGCTACACAGTACACTGCGCTACACAGTACACTGCGCTACACACTACACAGCGCTACACACTACACAGCGCTACACACTACACAGCGCTACACACTACACAGCGCTACACACTACACAGCGCTACACACTACATAGCGCTACACACTACACAGCGCTACACACTACACAGCGCTACACACTACACACTACACACTACACACTACAGAACGCTACGCTACACACTGCACACTACACACTACACACTAAACACTACACACTAGACACTAGACACTAGACACTAGACACTAGACACTGCACACTACACACTACACACACTAGACACACTACACACACTAGACACACTAGACACACTAGACACACTAGACGCACTAGACACACTAGACACACTAGACACACTAGACACACTAGACACACTAGACACACTAGACACACTAGACACACTAGACACACTAGACACACTAAACACACTAGACACTCTAGACACACTAGACACACTAGACACATTAGACACACTAGACACACTAGACACACTAGACACACTAGACACACTAGACACACTAGACACACTAGACACACTAGACACACTAGACACACTAGACACACTAGACACACTAGTAGACACACTACACTCTACACTCTACACTCTACACTCTACACCCTACACAACACTACACACTACACACTACACACTACACTACACACTACGCTACACACTACGCTACGCTACACTACACTACACTGCACCACACCACACTACACCACACCACACCACACCACACTACACTCAGTTACACTACACTACACTATCCTAACCCACATTACATGACATGACATGACATGACATTACATTACACTCATTACACCACCACAAATGCAACTGCAACTGCACTACAGTAATTACACCACACCACAACTACAACTCCACTACGCTACAACTACAACTACAGCTGCACTACACCACACTACACCACACTACATCCAGCAGTTGTGGGTGAGGTGGCCGACCAGGTGACCACTGCAACCATTGCAGCTCCAACCACCTTTCGGTCCATCAGTGGATTCGCTCTGCCATCCGTGATTCACAGCAACCAATCTCTCCTATAGGTTTCCTATGTTTGAAACTTCCGTCACCGCCTTGTGCGGTACTAGTGGTAGTCGTAGGTATAGTTGTAGTTGTAGTGTAGTGGAGTTGTAGTTGTAAGTTGTAGTTGTAATGTAGTGTAATAGTCTGTCGTGCAGTTGCAGTTGCAGTTGTAGTTGTGGTGTGGTGTAATTAGTGTAGTGTATTGTCGTGTGCTGTAGTGTTGCGTACTGTACCGTGGTATAGTGTAGTGTAGTCTAGTGTATTGTAGTGTATTGTAGTGTAAAGTAGTGTAGTTGTAGTTGTAGTGTAGTGTCGTGTAGTGCACTGTAGTGGTAGTTGCAGTTGTAGTGTAATGTACTGTAATTAGTGTAGTGTAGTGTAATGTAGTGTAGTTGTATTTGTACTTGTAGCTGTAATGTACTGCAGTGTAATTAGTGCATCGTAGTGTAATGTAGTGTAGCTGTAATTGTAATTGTAGTTGTAGCTGTGGTGGTAGTGGTGGTCGTCGTCGTAGTAGTAGTTGTAGTAGTTGTAATTAGTGTAGTGTATGTACTTAGATGTAATTAGATGTAATGAGATGTATTTAGATGTAATTAGATGTAGTTAGATGTAATTGGATGTAACTAAATGTAATTAGTGTAGTGTAGTGTATTTAGTGTTGTGTAATGTAGCGTAGTATATTTGTACTTGTAGTTGTAGCAGTAGTGTAGTGTAGTGGTACTTGTAGTTGTAGTTGTCTATCTATCTATCTGTCTATCTGCAAGCTTAAGCGAAGCTATTCTGCGAGACTTCCTCGAGGCAGGCCTCGAGGCAATGGAAATTGCCATTGATGCTATGGAAATCGCAGCAAAACAGACACTTTGCTAGGATGAGGCAAGCCGCGGGGCAGGCCTCGAGGCAGGTCTCGATCAGTTTTTGAACTTGACAACATCAAAAGCCGAGCAATTCTGCGAGACTTCCTCAATTTTTGAACTTGACAAAATCAAAAACGAAACAAATCTGCGAGACTTCCTCAATTTTCGAAGTTGACAACCTCAAAAGCGAAACAATTCTGCGAGACTTCCTTCAAAAATGGAAAGTTGAGTGCAGAGCTGACGGCCTCGTGCCAATGCTTTTTGCGATTTTTCCACTCCACCTGCCTAAAGTACTGCGCAAGTCATACGGAGTGCTGCACCTGTCACGCAAAATCATCTCAGCAAACCTGAAGATCTGATGCTCCCAAATGCAACCCCTCTCAGGAAATCAGCGCCCGGACTTCCTAACAGCTCTGATGAACATGTCTCTTGTACTGCGTCTGCCACGGAAAATGCATCTTTGCAGATCCTCTTCAAAGGTCCCACGCCTGCCATCGTTTTTGGACATGCTACAAAACCCTCACGTTTTGCTCACTTTTGACAACGTGCACAATCCCTTGCGCCTGCCATGCAAAACGACACCTGGACGTCCAAAAGTGCTCCGAACCCCCTCAGTTTTTTGCACTTTTGACTTCGAAATGTGCTTCGCGCCTGCACTTTTCCGACATCTCAACTTCCAAAAGTGGTGCGCACGTGAGGTGTTTTCAGCTTTTTCACTTGCACATGTGCTTCGCGCCACAATGGTGTGCAATTTTTCATCAATCATCTGGCCAGATGGCTCCGCACCTGCCGCTTTAGCCAGCCTACTTTTCGACCCTCCGGAGCCACAAATCATGGAAAAAACACAGTGTTACGCGACTTTCCTACCTTTTCGCGCTTGGATCTTCTTTCTGCTGAGAGTTTCTCTTTTTTGATCTTCTTTATTATTCTCTTCTCTTCTCTGACTCTTCCCATCTCTGCTTTTCATCTGTCCATATTGTCGGAAGTTTGACTTCTAAACTTCCTTCGATTACTGTATATATATGTATATACATATATGTGAGCATTTATCTAAATCTATCTCTCTCTATATCTCCCTATCTCTCCTCTCTCTCCTCTCTGTCCTCTCTCCATCGGTCCATCTCTATCTCGCTATCTCTCCATCTCTCTATCTCCCTATCGCTCTATCCCACTATCTCTTTCTATGTCTCGCTCTCTCTCTCTCTCTGTGTCTCTGTCTCTAACTCAATGTTTTCTATTTTCTCTGTATCTCGATGTATCTCTCTGTATCTCTATGTATATCCATGTACCTCTATGTACATCTCCCTCTCTCTCTCTCTCTGTCCGTCCCTCCGTCCCTCCGTCCCTCCGTCCTTCCCTTCATCCGTCCCTCCATTGGCCCGTCCGTCCATCCCTCCGTCCGTCTGTTCGTCCATACGTTCATTTGTCTCTGTTTGCGTGCCTGCACACAATCATGTAGATAGGAAGGCACGCAGGTAGATGGAGGTAGACGTTCAGAGTGAATGAGAGCAGAGTCTCCCTGAGCTTCTCGCCTACCCGGACGCATTACGTGACTTGGACGAGTGCTTGAAGACAGCCCGGCGAGTTTGACACTGTGTGAAGTGTGCTTTGTCATGGTCACGAATTTTCACACCCTTTTGCTGACTTGTCATTGTCGAAGCTGGAAGCTGCCACAATCGTATCTTTTCTTGTCTTCTCTTCCAGGCTGGAACCAACCTTCATCAAGGCATACTCCCGGAAAGGAGCGGCCCACTTTTTCATGAAGGAGTACCACAAGGCTTTTGCAAGAACTGCAATCAAAGACATTGAACTGGAGATGCAAAACATCCAAGGACGGAGAAGACAAATGAAGACACGTTTTTTTTGGCTTCATTGTGTAACCTGTATTACCTGTCCTGGGATGCCTTCTTTTCGTCAGGCTTTGGAAGCTTACGACAAGGGCTTGGCCCTAGACAAGAGCAATGAAGAATGCAAGAAAGGCAAAGAACAGGTTCCACATGGTTCGACATGGTGAGACAGTCTCAGAAATGCTCAAGATGCTAAACTGAAAGTCGGTGAGAATGAGTTGAATTTTGTTTTTCAGGATACTAATTATGTATGTCCCATACCTCCCTGTAAAGTGTGGCCTGTAGCCATTAAGTATATATTACTTACATTGTATGGCTCAAGAAAAACAGCGTGTGCAGTTTGTGGCTGATTGTGGTTGGATAGCCTTGGCAAATAGGTTATCATCCGTATTGCCACGGTATTTTCCTTTGTAACTAATGTCCGCCCCCCTCAGGGAAACCATCACCTGAGGGCTCGAATCCGTCCGGAGTTCCTGAAGCCATGGCCATTGAAGATGCGGACACAACCACTGCTGCAAGTGACATGCCTATAGCTGAGGGCCTCCGTCTCCTTCCGAACGCTCCCGAAGTGACAAGCGTAAAATCAGTGCCCTGAATACTCATGACCCTGCTATCACCCAATTGACTGAGCAGGTTGCTGAAGCACGACACCGTGAGGCACTAGCCAACACAGAACGTGTGGTTCAGACGATGGTATTTGAGATGAGCCGCCGGTTTAATGCCGAGGAAGAAGCAGCCAGCACTCGGATGCATCAGATGATACAGGGAAGAGCTTGTACAGCGAGAGGAAGTGTACAAAAGGGTTTTAGATGGGAATGCTAGACAGTCCAATGCAACCAAAGACCAACAGATCCAAGCATTGAAAGCCCACTACGAAAGACAGGACGAGAGTCGCAGAATGCAGTTGTCCCAATTGGAAACCATCATTCAACAGCAAAGTGAACAGATCAAGTCGCAATAGCTCCAAACCGAGTCCATGAACATGCGAATGGGAAAACTCCTGAATTCCTTATGTTCAATGCCCGGTCCCAACGTCCAGACGGCCACTGCCGTTACACTGCCGTTATGCCATCCGCTACTGAGGTGAAGGTTTCCGCTCCATTGAGCTCCTTCGCATCAGCTGGTGCACCAAAACCCAATGTACCAAGTGCTGACATGTGGGAGATGATTGGAATGGATGGGGGACGTTCGCTATTTGAGGCTGCGAGCCCCAATTCAGAAATAACTGGAGTAAGATCTCCGACATATCCCCCTACCAGCCTTGTTGAATCAAAGAAGGGTAATGGTGACGACCCACCATGTGATGATGAGCCTGATGAGGACGGGCCGAAAGGCGGTGACAAAAGAAATCACAGTAAAAGGGACAAAGGTGGTAAGAGGCCCGTCCAAGGGTGCCGACGACCACCGGGAGGTGGGCCTGGGGATGGAGATGACGATGATGACGATGACAATAGGGACGGGCTTTGATGACAGTGACCGCAAATTTGTGCGTCGAATGAGATCCGTTTTTGGCATGCCCAAGGATCAAACAAGTGACAATAAAAGCAAGGTCAAAGAGGCAGCTACGATCAAGATTCCAGCTTTCCCTCATGCCGAGTCCCATAGAAACTGGAGGATCCGAACTAGAGAAGCTGTCATGTCTGCATCAACTGACCCGGACAAGGCATTTGATTGGATCAGTGAAACTTGGGCAGAAGGTCAAACTTCGGATAAGCTTAGAGATGTGGGAAGGTTCACAACATTAGATGCGAAACTGTTATCTGCACTCACCAACATCCTGACAGGTGATTTCGCACGTAAAGTCGACACTTATAAAGAGACTGAAGCTACCAATAAGAGATATGTGAGGGGATCCAGGTACTATTGATGATGGATGATCATTTCAGTACAAACATCAAACATGGTGCCACATATGCCCTTCAGGATCTCTTTAGCGTGAAGCTCAAGGGCGATAACCTTCGTGGGTTCACCAGCAATTGGGATCAAGTGATGGCTGGTATCCCGAAGGTTCCAGAGGTCAGTGTGCTGGAAACCCTCTTCTTTAACCAAGTCAAGAACAGTAAAGCCATTGCACACGATTTGCAGGACGATTTGCAGGGTGACAAGAAGTCATGAATTTCTGGTGACTGCAGTCGGCCGCTACTTGGACAGGGAGCGGCTCGAGTCCAATAGGGAACGAGTTGCTAGGACCCTCGGTACCTCATCGAGCGCTGCGCCCGCAGTTGGCGAGAAGACGGGGTACATTCCAAAGGGGTACTGTGTCAAATAGAATAAGGGAACTTGTACGACATTCAAGCATGAAAAGCCTCCTCCAAAGAAGGATAGAAGCCAGTCAAGACCGCCCTCCGATAGAGGCAGATCACCATCCAGGGATAGGAATGACAAGAAGAAGAAGAAACAACCGTGCAAGTTTCGCAAGAGAGGTTTTGGGAATCTGGTTGATCGACTTCAACGTGATCCTTTCTTCCAAGTCAATGCCGCGAACCAAGACTTGGTGCCGGAAGCATTGAACTTCATTGAAATGCTTGCCGGCTGCATCAGCCTGTCATCAACCGGACGAAGTCCCAGATCTTAGGGGAAAAGCTCGAGATGGCCACCAAGTTGGTCTTTGTCCCATCTGCCACTCGCGAAAGAGACGAGCCTCTCGATTTGCACTCGGAGGTCTTCGTGAGCCATTGCGGTGTATTTTTCGACATCGGGCAGTTTGCCGTCTACGTCGCCAAGTTCATCAAGCCGAAGGGACGACCGCTTCCCCTGGTCTACGGATGGAACGATCAATGATGCAGACGCCTCCAACGGCATTGCCAAGGACCTTGTTGAGTTCAGCAAGCTCCAATGGACAATCTTTGCATCAAAGCAGGCCCATCATGAGAGCGAGACTGTTGGAGAGGACCAGGAGGTTCGCCTACCTCATGCTTCGGCATCAGTGTCACTTCCTGAACATGCCCGTCCACACCATGAACAGTTCGAGCCCAACTTGGGGAAGCCTGCTGGAGGTGGTCCTTATGGCAAAGATCAAGGAGGCAAAGGCCAGCAGAAGGGCAAAGGTAAGGGGAAAGGCCAGGAGAAAGGGAAGGGCAAGCAAGGCAAAAGTCCACCGGGAGGTGCCTATTACGATTGATTATGTGGGGCAGAGCGGATGGAGCCAGGACTACCAGTTCACTTGGTATTGGAAGCAGCAGCGTGGGTGTTTTTGGCGCTGGGACTGAGTCCGTAGATTCCCTTCAGTGGCGTATTGGTCGCATTTTCTGTTGCTTGCCAGGAGGCATGCCTGACTTTCATCATTTGGTCAGGCGTTGTGCCCAGATTGAACAATCCAGATAGATGATTGCAAAAACGGCATTCGCCTAGAATAAACCTTATGCGCATTGCTTTGCATTAACTTCCGCGCAGTTTGAACAAATTAAAATTTCCCGTCAAACTTCTCATTTCAAATTATTGGATGTTCAAGGCACGATTTCGATTGAAACGCGCTCTTCATGGCTGTACGGTTTTTCCTGCCATGGTGCTTGATGAGTGTATGAATGGAGTGGTATTGCGCCAACTCACTTGAACAGCATCATGCCTGGCGGGAGCCATGGCCATGCTGTGTGCAACTCGTCCGGGGGCATAAAATTATGAATCGATGCTTCATTCGTTGTGAGCTTATCGGCACTTGCCTTGTCCAGCATGGTGCGTTTTGTGCTTCTGACGCTTAGGTCCGAATGCTGCTGCGTACTGCAGGATCAGTTTTACCGGCGCTTCTAAGCAGCTACGGTAAACGGTGTCTTTTACGGGATACTAATTATGTATGTCCCATATACCTCCCTGTAAAGCGTGGCCTGTAGCCATTAAGTATATATTACTTACATTGTATGGCTCAAGAAAAACAACGTGTGCAGTTTATGGCTGATTGTGGTTGGACAGCCTTGACAAATAAATTTCCCTGTTCTCGAGTAGACATACTTGCGTCATAATCTCCAACACTGCTGCGACCACAGTTTGCTTCTCAAGATCCCTTACGTGCATACAAACTCCAAGATCGTTTTGCACCTCTGCATCCGCTGAGCATATATACTGGAAAATTAGATTTTTGCACTGAATCCATTCAACTGCCGTTTTAAGACAATTGTCAAGCTGGGTTCATGGTTGCCTATTTTAAGCCTTTTCTTTGATTTGCAAGAACAGCACGACTTGTTTGAAGGTCCTTTCAAAGATCATGGAGACGCAGTCAAACGACGTTGATGAGGAGCAGGCTTTCATGGCTTTCATGGGCCGTCTGATTTCATTTTTGAGCAGGTTGTGCATTTGGAAATATTTGGAACATTTAAGATTTTTTGGATTTTCTCCACCTTGAAGGTGCAGCATGCAATGGCAGATCCGGAGATTCAGAGAATGCTCCATGATCCTCAGGACCGATCCAAGAGATGATAGGGATTTTGAATGATTTTGATGTAGATCTGGATGGATATAGATTGATGAAATAACTGATATGGATCTAGTGGGCAACGAACATGAACATGCTCATCATATGCTCATCATATGCTCATCATATGCTCTGTCTATGCTCTCATCTGCTCTCTCTCTCTCTCTCTCTCCCTCTATTTGGCAGACATGCTGACAAGTCTCTCAAGCATGGATGGAGTGTGATTCGGTTGGAGTATGTTGCAGTTGCCTGCCAGGTACGATTGTTTCTGAGGACGCTTGAGGAGAATCCAGCTGAGGGTCAGAAGGCATATGGTGACGAGACTGGAGATGCAGGTAGGCTTTGTAGGAATTTATATGGATTCATAGTTCAAGCCACGGTTTTCTAGTTTCTTTTCAGGGATTAGGGTGTATTGGGAGGTTCTTCCGCGGAATATTCTTAATCATAGAACCTTCAGTGCTGCGTAGATTTCTTTATATATGATTTGTATATATTTGTATGCTAATCGAAAACTAGAACTACGCGATTGACAATACTTGGGGGAGACAAGCACGCCAACCAAGAATGTCAACTTGCAAGCAACTAGAGCCTAGATTTCATTGAACATCCATTTAAGTGTTCTTGAAGTGGTCAGGCGATTCAAAGTGATCCACGATTGAGGGAGATCGTGTGGACACTCAGACACTACGTCAAGATGTTACCAAGAGCATGTCTTCAGTCCATCGCAGAATTGTTGACAGGTCTCGAAACTGGTAGCAGCTGGCATCATCCGGACCAGATAGCCACAAAGCATTTGCACAAAGCATTTGCAAAAAGCATTTGCAAATGGAGTGCACTAACTTTTATTGACGCTATTCTAGATCTAGTGAATGTTTCGCTTGGCCACGGCGAAGAGAGAGCGTGCTTTGTGGCATTGCATTTAGTGGTGATCCCGCTTTGCTTCAAAAGGAAGTAAACCGCTCAGAACCGTCCAGTCTGCAGTGGTCCGTGCTTCGGAAAAACTGGGTACACGGAGTGCACGGCCCAAGACGCAACGCGACTGCAACGCAATGGCCAAAACGGTGCCGAGCGGCCTGAGCTGAGGTGGACTCCAGGAACCCACGAAGCAAAGTGTCAAAGACATCGTCATTTTGCCTGTCACATATGGTTTTATAATGTTTTATATATGCATATGTATGGTACATATGTATGATACATATGCATGTAGATATAGTATACATAAAAATGGAAAAAACTATAAATATTATATAGATATGCAGCATGCAATGTTTTTCAATGTCCTAAAGTAGTCTCATGTACCCAGGCAAATCTTGCCATGTTGCGGCCTGGAGGCTGGGCACCGCGAAGCCTCGCGGACTTTGGCGATGGTGGTGCTTTTCCTGAAATACACATGGCCCAGCGACGGGCTCAGATTCAGCTCAGATTGGCTCATCACAAGATCATTTAACATATGTCAGCAACACTGACACCACCAATCGCAAGAAAAGTTGACTTTCTGAACTTTCTTTCAAGTCAACCAGACTCCCCAGTGAGATTCCTGCTGTTAGGTATCCTTTGGAGATGGGGAAAGCAGGCAAAACGCACCAGCAGGCCACGGGAGTATGAGAGAAGATAGACTTTGAAAGCATTTTGATCTGTAGAACTTCTGTAGAACTTCTGTAGAACATATGAAAGTGTAGAATAAGGATCCTGTAGATTCCCAATGGTTCAGGATATGCATGGCCAAGGCATAGAACATCTGAAACTTGGATTGGAATCCAATGCCAGGTCGTGGCTTTGCAGACAGATGCGAATGGGAAAATTGCATGGGATGCTGTCATCAAGCACAAGTCAGTGTTTTTCTTAGCGTATCAAAGACTTAAAAAGACTTAAAGACAAGACTAGACTGGAGGATTTTGAAACTGATGAAAAGCTGGCTAAGGACAAGCTAGCTGTTTGGACGCGTCCTGAAGACTCGAGAGAGAAATGGTCAAAGCCAGAGGCAAGGCTTTCACAAAAGTTTGCAACATTGTAATCCGACATCCAATACTATACATATGATTATAATCTGATCACCGTCACAATCGGCGAAAGCGTTCAGAACCTGGAATTTATCGTGGACTGGACTTCATTTTCAGAAAACTATATATACTGTAGTTGTCAGAGTTGTCAGACGCTTAGTGCATTTGGAAGTCACCGCAGGAGCTTGAAAGACCATCTCTTGAGCTTGACGTTCTGAATACTGAGCGAACGCAGAAGGTGCGGGACATTGCGGGACATTGGGGGACATCTCGATTGCAATTGATCTCCCAGACAGTCACTTGCAACGCATGCAACGCACTGGCATTGCACTGGCAATGCACTGCCTCATTCAGGCTTTGGAAATGGCTCTCAATGGAAAGATCCAAGCTGGCGTGTCCCAACCTCTGTTCAACAGCCTCTTTACAATATTGTTCCATTTTTTACATATCTAACTTGCAAACTATTTTCAGTGAACACTCTGAGATATGCCACTTCCATGAGGCCCAAGAAGCAAGAGCAGAAGGACTGGGATCAGTCAGCAGTTTCCAAGACTTTTGCAGCCGGTGGAAAGCTAGGCACTTGAAGCACTCCAGCACTCCATTTTGTGTTGCCGACTGCAGAATGTGTAGGCGTTGGTGATGACTGAAACACATCCACATTCATTGGCAGGAAGCGGAGTTCATTCGCTACACGCCGAACCCCAACGCGCATCAACCTTGTTTCTTCAAGCAAAAACTACTGACATGACTCAGGTTTGACTCAGGTTTCGACTGCTTGAGGTTTCAAAATCTATGACTCAGGCCTGGCTACACGCCCAACTGCAGGGAGCATGTCCTAGTTGCAGCTGTTGATGTGCAAGAGCACCGTGCTTCAGCAGTCTTGGGGCGTTCCACAAGAGCACTGCAGAGGAATCTAACTTGTGAACGTATCAGTTTACAGTACAGGTGGAAGTTCCCTGGCGAGTTCTGCAACAACTGCTAACAACGCTAAGGAACGTGTAATCAAGTTGGTGGAAAGGCAAGTGGATCCTTTCCAGCCTCCAAAGTTTAAGCACAAAAAGGCAACTGGGGGGGAAGGATTTGCACACTTGGTTGCTTTGCGGGTAAAAGGCGTGTTCTCTCTCTCTCTCTCTCTCCCTCTCTCTCCACTTTGTTTTTCTCGTCTTGAGACGATCCCTGGTTTTAAAGTCTGTGCATTGTTTTTCAGTTTGTTTTTGAGTTTGTTTGTATCATTCAGACACCATTCAGACACCATTGCTTGATATTGCTTGCTATTTGACCCACTTGCAGTTTGACTTGATTGGGAAATCCAAACTCGCACTTGCACAGGTGCCTCGCGGACCACCTTCGCCGCCGCCACCTGTTCATCATTCTCCTCCTCGCAAACTCACTGCAAAGGACATGGAGCTGCACCTGTTGCACACATGTTGCACCAATTGTGATTGAAATGTGCTTCAAATGTGTCGAATGAACCAGTCCTGCAAGAAATAGACACAATAGAGAGATAGAGAGTCAGTAAGAAGCACTCATTGCACCTCATAGTCACGTCCTTGAAGCAGCTGACGGTGTTTGGAAAATGCCTCGTCCTTAAGGGGTGAAACCATCCGGACGCTTTGCTCAGCCCGGTTCCCTGCTGTTCCAAGGACCAAAAGGATTGGAAGATTCCACCATGCATCTCCAACTGGAAGAACGCAAAGGTTGCGTCCAGCAGTGGGTGAATTTTTGTTTCTCAAGACGTTTTCCAAGTTGTGCTGATTTAAAATTTTAAACCAAATCGGATAGATCAATCCAACTTGTCAAGTCTGGCGCAGGGATACACAATCCCGCTGGACAAGCGCTTGTCAGCAGACGGGCGAAGTTTGCAGGAGCTTCGTTGAACAACAGAGTGAATCCTAAGAGTGACATGTACTTTTAAAATTTAAAGGTTCATGGCATTGCTCCAGCAACCCTATCCTCAGGATGTTGCTGTCAATGACAAGTTTGCAGCGATCAGCGAAGACTTGCGCCCTCTGAGCCTTCAGCTTTCTTGTACGGATGTTGTGCAGGTTGAATCACTTCAACAGGCATGAGCAGGCCATGTTGCGAAGAAGAAAAGTAGTTGCCCCTCCGCCAGTGAGCATTAAGTTCTGCTGCAGTTCTGATACCCGGATGAACAGGTACCTTGCTGAGCGTAAAGCCCGAGAAGAGATCAAAATCAGAAACGACCTGATCAGGCAGAAGAAGGCAGGAGTACAGCAGGAGGGCTGCAGGAGCTACAGGAATTCCTGTTCCCTTTCAGCTCTGCGTTGAAACAGAATCAGGCTGATCAGCCTTGACTGCTAGATATACTGTGATGAAAGCATATGAAAATAAATAAATGAATAAATAAATAAACGATGAAAAAAAAAATATATATACCAAGACTAGTATATTAAACATGTACATATGCCTTTTGTTGCTATGTTATTTATGTGGTATGATATAACTTTCCAAATTTTGTATACGATAATCAAACGACGCCCAGATCGCAGTAGACCAAGGTCACACGCCTTCCCTCTTTTGGTGCGTAGACTCTGTAGACAAAGAGGTTATGCAATCAAACATGTCCAATAGCCATGCAAGTCACAATGAATGCTTCAAACATGTTTGACCATGCTTTGTTCGGATTTTCTCAGGCCTTTTTCATGGCCTGTCCGATTTTAGATGTCTGCGAGGTCCGCGAGGAGGAGATTAGAGAGCAGCAGTTGCGCGACTTGGCAGCTCAGGCTGGGAGCCTCACCATCCGTAACCCAGCTCATGCCATGTCTGATTCTGATGCCATGTTTGATATTGTTTGATGCCATGTTTGATGCCATCTCTCATGCCATATCTCATGCCATGTCTCATCGCTCGCGCTGTGATCGCAATGTAATGGCCATGTCATGGCATGGTATCAATCTCTCAAAGCCCATGAATTTAGTTTCAAGCGGCTACTTATGTCTACTTCTATTCGCTTCTCCCCTGGTTGATGAGTTTTTGGTGTTAAATTTCGATATGTACTGTATAGATGCATTTAGGACATGTATCAATGATCCAGTGTTCTCTGGCGTCGTACTTGTTTGTATTCTAGTTGTGCTGAGACAGGAATTGCGATCAAAGCTAGCATTTATGATTTCTCATGCACTTGGCACTCTTAAATTGCATTGAATTGCATTAATAAATCGATATAAATCGTATGGTTTGGAGAAAGGAGCAGCTCTGGCTGCTCAGATGCTCCTTCCCTGTGTGTGTGATTGACAGGCTCGCCAGACTCGTGCTGAACTAGCAGCTGCGCAGACGCCTTAAGCAAAGCTTGTAAGACTTGTCTTTATGATTCAGCAAGAATGAGCTGAACTGCAAACAGGGTTCAAAGGCTCAGATTGATCTTCTATGGTGACACCTTGCAACACAGGCCTGCGAAAGATGGGGAGGATGGACAAGATGCAGACGACAGGCGGCAACGAATGGAGGTGTGGTTTCCAGAATGGTGAGTAATTCTCCGTAATTAGTAATGGAGCAGCGGTGACTTTTTCTCTGAGAGTGGAAGTGTTTGACCAAGATAGCAAGGGACAAAGAGAACATTAGCTGAAATCTTTTGAACAAGTTCAAATCAATTGATTCGAGACCACTTCTGTGCAGAGACTATGTAGGTTCGCTTTCATTTCAAGGATCTTGCTCCGTCTTGCTATTGTATCTTCTGTTTGGAAGGTCTTGAAAGAGAGACAAAGAGAGATAGAACGAGACCAGCGCCTGGAACTGGCAGGCAAATACGTCACTGTGCCATTCGACCTGTGCTTGTGATGCTTGTGTGTTCTCGGATCTTATTGGAGCTTATAGGATCTTGTGGGGGCTCGATTCCGGGATGCAAATTGTTTTCGAAGGCAAGAAAAACAAGCGCGGGCGCGAAGAAGACCGCGATGTTTCCGAAAGAATTGCACTTGGCCAGGCCAAGTCCGGCCAAGTTGTTCAGATACGTTGAGAGATACGTTGAGAGATACGTTGAGATACGTTTAGTGAGCTGCAAATAAGTTAAAGAACAAGTTAAAGAACAAGCTAATGGCAGCTTAGGAGCAGATAGAAGGGGCTTGGCAATTCAGTCTCTGCCTCTTTACACTGGCAGGCAGCGCAACCCACAAGCTCAGAGGCTATGTTTGATCAACGCCTCTTTAACCAGTCTGCTGGCATGGCTGCATCCTCAACTTTGCGACATAGTTTGTCTAGGATTGTCAGAAATGTGGATTCCGGGCTTTGACATCTGAAAGTTCTTTAAGGATAGCGGCTTCTTTGGTGGGGATGACGAGAAAGTTGCGATCTACGACAAGCCACTCTTTGCAGATCGAAGAGTGGAACTCAGCCGGTGTTTGTTCTGTCACAGCGGTAGCCTGACGCGGACTTTCACCACTTCGCAAAGAAACGATATATATATGTATATGTATATGTATATATATAATATATATACACATACATACATACATACATACATACATACATACATACATACATACATACATACATACATACATACATACATACATACATACATACATACATACATACATACATACATACATACATACATACATACATACATACATACATACATACATACATACATACATACATACATAGGGCTGCCGCCCCTGCCGCCAACCCCCGGGCCAGGAGCCTGGGGGCGGCCGTGGGGGAGGGGAGTGATATTGGTTTGGGGTGTGTGCGTTGTTGTTCTAAAACCCATGCAAGACTTGGAGTATCCGAGTGACATCTGCAGATATGGGCGTGTGGTTTTGGCTGCCGTGATGGAAGGCCGCGAAAAAGGCGGCGAAAGCTTCCTCGCCCTTCTTGCTCTTGCTGCTCGGTGCTGGCCAACCAATCCAAATCCAGCCGCCAAGCCTCAAACGTCCAGCTGCCAAGGCTCGAAAACGGCGGCTTCGCCACACTCAAACAGCAGGGCTTTGAAGGACGGAACGGGCCTCCCGGCAACGGCCCGTACTGCCTAACGTTGCCTTCTGGGCCTACAAGAAACTAGGTGTCTTTGTGCTCTTGCCGCCGCTTTCCAGTGCCTTCTTGCTCTTGCTCCTTTCTGCTTGTCATGTCTTCTCGCCCCTTGCTGCTAGTAATTTCCCCTTTGACGCGCTCCCCCTGCTGGTGGGGTCGGCGGATATCATAATATTCAATACATATATACGTACTAATACCGACCACAATTCTACGATAGAACCTGCACGAACCAAAGGGTGCTCGAAGAGGCATCCTCTATTGTATGTGCTGCCCCTGGAGACCAATGCAAAATTAAATTATTCAGTGAATTTCAATGAATTTCATAATGATCGAAGGGCCAAACTTATGGGACACATCCTCCGGACTAATACAGACGATCCTTTAAGACAAGTGTCTTGTCTTCCAGACTCAGCCCATCGACTTGATTATGGAAAGAAACGCGTTGGCAAGCCAAGGCAGAATTGGCTGCATCATGCCAAAAAGTATGTCCATGAACATGTATTGAACCGACATGTCTATTCTGAAATTGATGATGATCACGGTATTTATACAGCCGCAATGCAGAGACTCTTTTATTTTTTGGGCTATCCCCACGCCTTGTGATTAGCTGACTTTTTGAGTCGGAGCAGGGTATGGCAAGGAAAAAACATATATGTATGTAATATCTATAAACATATTTTTGTAATAATCTAACATAATATATAAATATATCGTATAAACATACATATCAGCCGACCCCGGCCGACAGCAAGATGGAGTGCGTCACGGCAGGCAAAACGCATCCCAAAAGTGTCTTTTCTTTTTTGATACCTTTTGCAAATACTGCAAAAAGCAATAAAAACGTGCACAAAAACCTTATTGAAGCATTTTTTGGTGCCACAAGCGCGCAAGACACGCAAAGTGCGACGAAAAGGTTCGTAAAGTTGGCTCGCCGGGCGTATCTTTTTCTTAATGCATTCAGAAGCCATGTTGGGCAGTTCTTCCTGTGTCGAAGCATTTTTCAGGCGCTGCATAGAGCAGCAAAAACGTGCACAAAGACCTTACTTTGCAATTTGTGGTGCCACAAGCGGTGCAAGACATGCAAAATGGGACGAAAAGAAACTTAAAGCTGCATTGCCGGGCAAGGAACCGGCAAACTGTCGCCCCTCCTTTGTTCCGGGGTGGGCGGCAGGGGCGGCAGCCCTTACATATATATATATATAATATATTGATAATGTTTTAACTGCATGTATACATATATATATAATATTGATAATGTTTTAACTGCATGTATACATAGATATAATATATATATATATATACACACACGTACTGTAGTGTTTTCAATTGTACAGTGATGATCGTGCATTCTTCCAGCAGAGACATGAGGAGACAGGTCTCTTTGAACAGCTGCGGTTCGAAGGGTCGAAGCCGCTCCTTACTGTACTGCAGATAAGCACGCCTGGAGATCATGTTTTTGCAATCAAAGTGTTGCAATGAAAACAACACACGCACATATATATATATATATATATATACACACAGAAATACGGTATATACATGCATTTGTTGTTATACCATATTCTCTCTACATGCGTAGCAAGGTGATTACACACAAAAGTCAGGCACACACACACATATGTATACGTTTGCTATATATTCGCAGCTTTGAGTCGGATACGGATAGATAGAAAGGCTGTCTCTTTCTTTCTTTCTTTCTTTCTTTCTCTCTCTCTCTCTCTCGCTCGCTCCCTCTTCTACTTGTAGTGTTTGGCCGTGTTTGGTAAATTACTCAATTTGCCCTATATATCGAACGGATTCTTGCAACACTCGTTACGGCTTTGCTTGGCAGCAATTAATTGACACCAGGCGGCCGTGACCGAAATGCACGCCGAAGCCGAGATGTGGTTCTCTGAGTGTGAAAGATCTTGGTGATCGCTGGAAAGTCCGAAGGAAATTGCTTGAAAATGAATGAAGGTTCCAAATGTTCCAACGTGTTGGGCCACCTGTTGCGAATACATCTGCAGTCAGTGTTCTCTAGGCTCCTTTAAACTCCATACCAGCATACACTGAATGTCATACACATCTCATCAGATCAAATCCTAGCAGTCCTAGCAGTCCTAGCAGTCCTAGCAGTCCTTCCTGGACAAAGGACGATTTGGCCTTGGACGGGCTCCTGGAAGAGGACAGTCGAGTATCGTCGAATACCGTTGACCTGTGATGACATGTTCTGACACGTTACAAATGAATTGTGCCAATTCTGTGACTATTGAAGATCAGGAGACGAAGAAAAGCAAGAAAAAGTAGACAGAAGTTTCTTGGATCAGAGACCCCAGTTGTTTATGGTTGATCCTTCTGGATCCTTCTTGATTCTGAGCCAAATGAACTGCGATGGACTCGGCTCGTTCCTGTTTGCTTGCCCTTGCGGCATACAAGACCAATGGCGGGTCTGTATAAACGGCTATGCAGCAGAAGGTTTCTCAAGACTGCGCTGTGCAAGTTTGTTGGGCATGGACATGGCGTGGAAACGCAACATAATAAGTTAGGCCAGTTAGGTAGAAATCATTCTTTTGAGTGCCGCACCTCGCATTCGGGCTTTGACTGCAGGGCCTTTACTCTGCATTGATTCGATTGTGGGACGTTCGCAGCATGATGATCTTGGGCTTATGGAAATGGTGCAATGCAGCAGAACAAGAAGAGTAGCAGTATTTGTGCAGCGTTCCTACTGTGATGGACTTTTCCCTGATGAGTACAGTAAGTCAAGCGACTTATTTCCCCCCCGCATTCTTTCTGTCATTTCTGGAAAGCTTTGTGCCCTGAGCTGAGGCTGCAGTGCCATGCAGCATGCACGTCTTAGCCACTTGCTGGATGCAGGCCAGGGATTGGATTATCTTGTCTCATCATGTCTCTTCCCGGGGGAATTGTGCATCGTTCATTATGCATCTATCATTGGGTCGTTGTGACCCATGTGTTTCCCTGACCCGTCTTGGAGGAGTAACGACCTTGCAGATGCTGGGTCCAAACCTGAGTGTTTTGATCTGGGACAAACTTGTTGAAGGAAGTTTAGAAGTCAAACTTCCGACAATATGGACAGATGAAAAGCAGAGGTGGTAAGAGTCAAAGAAGAGAAGAAAAGAGAAGAAGAAAGAAGATCAAAAAGAGAAAGTCTCAGAAGAAAGAAGATCCAGGTGGCGAAAAGGTAGGAAAGTCGCGAAACACGGTGTTTTTCCAATGATTTGTGGCTCCGGAGGTCGAAAAGTAGGCTCGCTAAAGCGGCGGGTGCGGAGCCAGCTGGCCAGATGAGAGATGAAAAATTGCACGGCGTTGTGGCGTGAAGCACATTCCGAAGCCAAAATGTACAAAACACACCAGGTCCGGACCACTTTTGGAAGTTGATGTCGAAAAAGTGCACGCCGTTGTGGCGCGAAGCACATTTCGAAGTCAACATGTACAAAGCACACCAGCTCCGGACCACTTTTGGAAGTTGAGATGTCGAAAAAGTGGACGCCCTTGTGGCGCGAAGCACATTTCGAAGTCAAACTGTACAGAGCACACCAGGCCCGGACCACTTTTGGAAGTTGAGATGTCGAAAAAGTGGATGCCCTTGTGGCGCGAAGCACATTTCGAAGTCAAACTGTACAGAGCACACCAGGCCCGGACCACTTTTGGAAGTTGAGATGTCGAAAAAGTGGATGCCCTTGTGGCGCGAAGCACATTTCGAAGTCAAACTGTACAGAGCACACCAGGCCCGGACCACTTTTGGAAGTTGAGATGTCGAAAAACTGGACGCCGTTGTGGCGCGAAGCCCATTTCGAAGTCAAAATGTTAAAAGCACCACGGGGTTGGACCACTTTTGGAGGTTCAGATGTCGTTTCGCATGGCAGGCGCAAGGGATTGTGCACCTTGTCAAAAGTGAGCAAAACGTGAGGGTTTTGTAGAATTTCCAAAAATTATGGCAGGTGTGGGACATTTGAAGAGGATCTGCAAAGACGCATTTTTTGTGGCAGGCGCAGTACAAGAGACATGTTCATCAGAGCTGTTAGGAGGTCCGGGCGCTGATTTCCTGAGAGGGGTTGCATTTTGGAGCATCAGATCTTCAGGTTTGCTGAGGTGATTTTGCATGACAGGTGCAGCACTTCGTATGACCTGGCATCATTTTTTCGTGGCAGGCGCAGTAGTTTAGACAAATGGATTGGAAAAATCGCAAAACGCATTGGTACGACGCCGTCAGCGCTGCACGCAACTTTCCATTTTTGAAGGAAGTCTCGCAGAATTGTTTCGTTTTTGATGTTGTCAACTTCGAAAATTGAGGAAGTCTCGCAGAATTGCTTCGTTTTCAAGCTTACAGATAGACAGACAGACAAACAGACAGACAAACAAACAGATGGATAGATAGATAGACAGATAGACAGACAATTACAACTACAACTACAGCTACCACTACACTACACTATACTACTGGTACAACTACAAATACAAATATACTACGCTACATGACATTACACTAATTACGCTAGACTACATTAATTACATCTAAGTACGCTACCCTACATCAATCACACTAACAACTACAACAAGAACTGCTACCACAACTACAACTACAATTACAACTACACTGCGCTACACTACAGTACACTACACTAATTGCACTGCAGTACGCTACAACTACAAATACAACTACAACCACGCTACATTACACAACACTACACTACACTGAGTACATCGCATTACACTACAACTACAACTGCAACTACAACTACAACTACCAGTACATTACACTACAGCTACCACTACACTATACCACACTACACAACACAACACTACACGACATTACACTGCACTACACTACACTAATTGCACCACACCACGACTACAACTGCAACTGCACTTGCAGCTACACTAATCACACTACAGTACACGACATTACAACTACAGCTCCACTACACTACACTACACCACACTACACTGCACTGCAGCTGCAGCTGCAGCTACAACTACAACTACAACTGCGCTACACCACACTACATCCAGCAGTTGTGGTAAGGTGACCACTGCAACCATTGCAGCCATTTCAAGAATCACAACTTCAACCACCTGTCGGTCCATCAGTGGATTCGCTCTGCCATCCGTGATTCACAACAACCAACCTCTCCTATAGGTTTCCTACTTTTGAAGCTTCCGCCACCGCCTTGTGCGGCACTACTGGTAACTTTTAACAGGATATGAAAGGCACGTTGCTAGAGTGTAGGATCCTGCACTCACATCCAGCTACACATCACCTTTATCATTGCCTGACACATTCCGCAACCCTGTAGAACATGTATGTACTTCTTAGATTTACTTATACATGGCAACGTCTTAGTATCTCTGTGTTGGCAGAGCCTGGAGTTGACGCCCTGTGTTGAACATGTTGCAAAGATTTGCTCTTCTCTCAGGCTTGGACCCGGCAGCCGGTTGCCCGTTCAGCAAAAAGACTTGAGCTTCTAGTGTATACATCAAATATGCACTCAGTATGCACACACCAGTCTTGTGTTTTGCACCATTGCAGTACTGATCAATCCAAACACCACAAATCCATCAGAGTGCGATGATGCCATGTGTGCCGGAGCAGTTGAGCCTTATTCCTCCATTCCCAGCAATGTTGCTATTTTCGGAGTATTTTGCGCCTGGAACCAAACAGACTACAAAAAAACCACATGACTAGCATCCCGATGCAATATAACCCATGCAATCATCAGGCCCAATGCATTGCCAATGTGTCATTCACATCTTGGCTGTAAATCAGGATGCTATCAAGGAGACCCGCATTTAGCATCCGTTGTCAAATTTGAAAAAAAATTAGACTTTGGACCCTCTTCATGTTTTTTTGAATCTGATGGCTTTTGGCCCGGAACTTACTTGTGCTATCCGGTTCGAAAGAGAGTTTATCTAGTTGGTCTGAGATTGAGTGCAGGTTGCAGCTGCACACTGCTGTACTGTTTGTCATCGTTCTAAGACCCATGTGAGACTTTTAGTACCCGAGTGACAGCGATATGGACGTGTGTTTTACTGACTGCAGTCGCGAAAGGCCGCCATCGCGTGGTCCAAGGTTTGGCGAAAGGTCTAGATACCACTATATATATTGGATGTATATGTCAGTATTCACGCGTTATGCTTGCATTCATGAAACCGTTGTGGCAACCATGGAACAATAATTCTCGGAGTTTGTTTCAGATAGGAGTGGGTTGTAGTATTGGAACTGAAACAACCGCCCAGCAGAATCACGCAAGTCAGCTGTCATGAAGCATCACTTTCTATAAATCGTTTTTGTAGGCGAGAAATCCGCAAAAGGTTCGGAGAAGGTTTGTGAAAGGTTGGTGAAAGGTGAGTCTGCCATTAATGGTCTAGTTTGTCTTGCAAGGCTGCAATTTTCAAAAATCCTTCAAAGTCGTTTCAACTTGTGCTTTCGTTCGGGCAATCTGTAAAATGACTTAGTCGAATGCTTCCGATTTCTGATTGTAAAAGCGATGTTCCTTTGCAATTCCCATATAAAGCCTTGGGACGAAACATGCACACGAATACATTAACACCTCACTGTCCCTTTTCTGGTTGGGCGCAAAAGGTTCGCAAAATCACGGCCAAAGGACATTTTTGGGGATCCATAATTTTGAACAACCCTCAGCTGCATGCGATTTTCCACATGTTGCTTTGAAGTTTTCTTTTAGATCACTAAGTACGCGATGCCCCAACAGAGGCCTTTGCCGAAGGAAGTGCGCACCCATCTCGTGTCGTCATACTAGCAATGTGGCAATGTGGTTGAACGTCTTCATGACACGGAGAGAATATGCCATCTACTGTACATATGCAGAGCCTAGACTTACATGTGCAATTTTCCCTTCGAACCAAATACTGTACCGCTGGAGACTGCCTGCAAATTGGGCGGCAGCATGGCAAGATATGCCTGACTCATCGCTGACGAGCAGCACAGATGAACAAACAGGTCGTTGGAACACTTGCAGATCCCATCCGAGGACTTTCCTCCGGCAGAACACCATGGGCTACTTGCTAGATGCTGGGTCCTTGAGTTTGCAAATTGCTGAGAAAAAGAACTCTGGACCATTCTGGAGCAGTGAAAGCTTCCCGACGACTGGCAGTGACTGGCCATTTCTTCCCCTGTCAGGTGGTGCTTGAGGAAGGTGCAGGAAGACGAGGACGGCTTGAAGCTGGATCCGCTATGATCCGCTTTCTGTTTCCCGTTTTGGGAAACAACAGTTCCACAAGTCACGGAAACGCTTGGCAGCGGTTGCATGCATCAGTGTTGCCTCAATCGCACGTTTAGATACGTTTAGCCCGTTTAGCATGATTTAGAATCCATTTGCATCAAGTTGCAATTCCTGGCAGGAGAAGCAAATGTTGATGGTGCAAAATTAACAAAACATCAAATCAGTGCAGAGAATTCCTCCATGTCCGAGAAGTACGAGGACAAGATGTGCAGAGCCGCGCATCTTCAGTCGTGTAGATTGCAGAACCCATAGATCCCGTTTCTACTTCCCGCTTCTTTACACTCAACGTTCCAGAAGTGCTCCCTTTGAGTTGCAGATGACAGGATAGCATTTCCTTGCAAGAGGCAGGAGCCAGCAGCCTTTTGCCACACCAGATATTGCAAACTCGACAAAATGAGGGACTGGCGAAAATAGGTCTTTGTCCAAGCAGATGGGCTCTTTCAAGGGTTCATACAGGTTCATGCATGTCTCTCCATAACTCCAAGACACAGGTATGCATGTACATATATGATATATGTATATATATATAATATTGTATATCCGAATCCCATACATAATACACACACATATATATATTTGTTATTATTAAATATTATTGTTATTATTAAACATCATTGTTATTCTTCTTCTTATTATTATATTGTTATTATTATTTATATATTTATTATATATGTATATCATATAAATGTTTGCTTCAAACTTTTCCACCAACTCTCAGCACATCTTCTTCTTGATGCGGGATGATGAGGAGGAGGAGGAGGACGGTGCAAATCATTCCCTGACAGTGAGACAATTCAAGGCTCTGAAGGCCGTTCAATTGGCCCGAGCACGTGCATGGAGCCAAGAAAGTTACTTCTGTGGTAGGTAAATACATGCCAAACTCTTTTAGGTGACAGAAACGCAGATTGGCTTTCACATCATTCGATGCAACACCGTTGTCGCACCTTTTTCTCAGTCATGCACACTGAGGCAAACCATGCGGAAGAAGAGATGTCACGTTGCCGGGAGGAACATCTGGGCGGGGGAACACTCGCATTTTGTTCCCTCATTAAGTATCCTGTTGTGTCCTATAGTGTCTTGGCATGTTCAATATTGTGAGGCAGCAAGTAAGCTAAAGGGTAAGCTGCGAAGAATCGCAATCGTTGGAACCTGAGAACTGCACCATGTTTGGGGAACTTAAGCAATGTACAAACATCTGCACAAAACTTCATTCAACATCTTAGACTTCTTTGCGAAACCGCACTTCTAAACTTCAGACAGAGCTTGGAGAAGAGGGCCGCATGGTGCTGTTCAGGTCAAATCATTTTGCGAGCCAGAAAAGGACAAGTCACACAGCAAAGTCAGATCTTCTTCAGCTTCACAAGATCCAACCTCCTTTTTTTTCCCCTTTTTTTCCACATATTTGTCAAAATTTGTCGAACAAGGAGAACTCAAATTGGATGCAAGTTCTCGGCCCACGAGAATTGCAAGTGTTTGTCTCAGATTGATTTTGCATTGTACAATCGTACATACGTCAGTTGTACGTCATTCTGTGTATAGTCGTTTTGGACAAATCCAAACACCCCTGTGCCAAGGTTCAGCCTCACCAAGATGGGGAGAAGGTGCTGCGGGACACGCAGGGACATGTGACACCAATGGCCAGAGATACGTAGATGGCCAGAGTTATTTCTCCTAGAGTTCTTGAATGATTCGAATAATTCTTGTATGTCCAACTGTATGTCCAAGCTCGCTGCCTAGGCTCAAAGCCGACGACGGATGAGTACAGGCGTCGCTGCTAAGAGAAGTGTGATCCTGCTTTGGATAACGTCAGCTGTGAGATGTGCAGAACACTACTGCGATATACTGCGCTAGCGATTTGACCTGTGGTTCTGTGAAATGTTGGCTTGCAGGATGCATGCCGGATTCTCTTCAGAAGAGGTGCAGGATGGTCAAAACTTGTGACTTCTGCAATCTTCTGCAGCTCCAAGTCCCAAGAACCAGACCTGGACTGGCGTGTTGGAGGTGCAACATTTGTTCGCCGCGGATCATGGACTTTGAACACATTGTTGGTCACGAGGCAGCTTGTTAGCAAATACGTATAGAAAAATGTGCACAGGGCCCCAGGATGCCCCAGGATGCCCCAGGAGCTTTTCCAATAGAACAATGATTCACAGTACCTTCAAGGTATCAATAGGTAAGGTACTACTATACTACTATATTCATTTGATTTCATTTGATTTCATTTGATTTCATTTGATTTCATTTGATTTCATTTGATTTCATTTGATTTCATTTGATTTCATTTGATTTCATTTGATTTCATTTGATTTCATTTGTATCCCCTGACATTACCTGACATTACCTGACATTACCTGACCATGGCTAATTGATGCTAATTGGCTAATGAACCGACAGGCTGATGACATGACGACTCCGCGTGCCTTTCCGCTTTGGAATCTGTCAAGTCTGTCCAGGACTTGCGGATCTTTCAGGTCTTGAAACCCAAGATTGACGCCTGCGTTGCTGGAGAGGCTTCAGATGGCTTCAGTCTTGAGAGTAAGCAGAGTAAGCAGAGTCTTGATTCCTTTATAATCTTTATATTCCTTTATCAGATCCGAGCACACTATCAAAAACTTGATAGCTTACGGTAAATTAGGAAGCCGACGTACAACGACCAACAGCTACCAAAGGGTGCTAAAAGAATCTGAAAGATGCGAATACCATGCAACAGTCTGTCCCAGCGCCAACTCCCATACTTCTGTGACGCAGTTTTGAATCTTCACCATTTTCACCTTTGCGTTCTGATAGTTCTGCAATGCCATTCAATTCGGCCGGAGGCAACAGAGGTGTTCGGCGTCTTTGTCTGTGGCACTGCTTCGTACGACAACAAGGCATCCTTTGTCGATCGCTTGGCAGCGAAAGTCTCGATCTCAGTTTTGCTGAGGCAGACGGAGCCCAAAAGCATCACTCCGACGAGATTCAGATATGCCGTGTCATATCGTGTCATATCGTGTCATATCGTGTCATGCAGGTTGAGAGATTTGAATGAAATCCAAATTTGGTGGTAGATTCTGAGCCGTGAGGTCATGGCCCAGTTTGAAACAGCTGCTGCAACTGTGCCATCCTCGGATGATTGGTACAAGGAAGGAGAAATGCATGCACAAAGTTCTAAGTTCCACTTCAGCTTTGCACACCGGTTGAACTCACAGAACCTAAGCCCGACTCAACCCATTCAATTCCGCTGGGTGAGTCAATAAATACTCCAGCAGCTGCCTGGTTGAGTATGTTGAGTGGTTTTTCAATCCTCATGAAAGAAATGCACCGAATCAGCGAACATTCAGCGAACCTTAAACCTCAGTTTAGTCGTGAGACATCGTGAGACACTGTGAGATATAGAGAGGGTATGTTTTGATTGCACCGCAGGCTCCCGTTGCACAGGCCATGGGGCTTTGTGAAAATGGACTGAGCCAACTGAGCCAATTCAGTGTATTTGACGTTTGATCGTTTGATTTGATTCTTCTTGAAAAGTGGTGATGTTCTGCAGGGAAATTGGTTTGCTGGTGCATGGCAGATCTTGACTGACAGACAGCTTTGAAGTGAAGAGCTTGCCCTACACAACACGGTTCATCCATTTTCGTCATGTTCCACACACCGCTCAAATATCTTCTAGGTACAGATGCAGATGTTTGAAACTCATGCAGATCAACACCGAGATTTGCTTGTTGCTTCCCAAGCTCATTACTGACAGTGTCCTGAAAGGAATCATCAGAATGCTTTCAGCAAACATAATAGGACTATGTAGGACTATGTAGGACTGTGCTGCTAAGGATTTGAGCCCCTCAAATCAAACGGGAAGGCAGGAGGGTAATGAGACCCTGATACCTCGGTGCACTGAAGTGTCATGCAATCAGGCCCAATCAGGCCCTGCATTTGTGAAGGAAATTGAAGGAACATGCGCATTTCATCATTTCATTGATTGTGATGATTGTGCTCTGCTTCCCTGCACATCCCTGCACGACATTGACAAAATGCACAGATGCAAACATGCCAAGATGCAAAGACACAAGCACACAGACGTCGCAGACGCACAGACAACGGGGCCAGACGCACCGAATGTCAGAGCTGAAGCCAATTCACACACACACACATACTTGAAGATGAAATCCTTTCCCACCGGTTGTTTCCCCGCACATTGGGTTCTTCAAAGACAATGCAAGCCATCTTTTCCTTGAGCGCACCATCCTTGAACTTGAAATCAAACTAGACCAAGCTAGACGATCTATTGACTGGTAAAGTCTTGCTCTCACTAAGCAGCAGATGCAACAATGAATCGAAGGCGCACATAGCATCTTCAGTGTGGAGTAGGGAAAAGCAAAGATGTGAAGGGTGTAATGACATCATCAGAGCAGCGTTTGCGAACATAATTTGCTCAGCACGCTAAGCACGCTTGAAGTGACTATCAATTCCCCGCAGCTAGGCAGCCTTCCGGAGGACCTGCACCTGTGGTTCTGAACTTAGCTCTTGGGGATTTTGCATCTTCCTTTCTCTATTTTCTCTAAAACAATAATTGTATCGTTTTGTCTACCTTGTCAACCTTCTTGGACGAGCATTCAAATGTTTAGTCAGCGCCACGCGTTGCCTGGTCACCAACCACTCAGTATCTTGCAAACACCCTACCAGGTGCTGACAAAGGTGTAGCTGTAGAAGTGAAATCTGGATGTAGATGAACAGAAGAAAATTGGCAAGGTCTTAAAATTGCAGAGTGATAAGCAAGTAAAAGTACGAGTTCGATGCAACTCGACAGTATACAGGGCAAAAAGTGTTAAAAGCAAGATATTCGATTTTACTGTTTCCATTTTACGGACCCCACAATGAAAGAATTTGCTTTACCATTTCATCGTGCCCAAGGTAAGAGTCTGATAAGAGTATGACCTTTACCATTTTCATTCATTTTCAATATTTACATTGCTGCACATCTTTGCACGAGGTAACAATTTTACCATTGTAAGGGTCCACAGCCCACTGGCCTCAGAAAAAATATGGTAATGAGTAATGACATGTAATTACAACATAGATAGACCAATCGCTTCCAGGGGGTTCTCACTACTTTCAGGAGACAATAGTGTAACGTTATTCCCCAAGCAAAGGTGACTGTACGCCACCAGTGTGAATTTTCGTTGCATGTCTAATACAATACAACCTCCACGGAGGTAGCCAGGCATTTCACAAGATCTCAAGATGCAGCGTTTGCACAAAGACTGCATTCGAATAAAGCCTTCATGCAGTAGAGACCTTCGCAAGGCAAATCACAAATCCGCGACTATATTCCTATATCTTACTTACAATACAATCTTAAATGGGAAATCACACAATTTTACTGCAAGAGAACAAAGACAACCTCATGTTCATGCACCGTGGGCTTGTGGGGATCCAGCACACATTGCTGATCTTTGGTGACTTTGGTGCATTCGGCCTAAAATTTTTGCTGCGTTCTTGACAGATGGGATTGGGCAACTTGGTGCCGGTATGTGCTGGTGTGAGGTGACTTTCGAGTTCCATCCAAACATGGAGGACGGAAAGAGGTGCAACAATGAAATGCTATGTACATATACGGCATATATATACATGTTTACACATACAATGTAATAAGCACATAGTATACATATTCCTTAGAACATTGGAGAAGACAAACGATCCCTGTTTGTGAATGTTGCACACAAGATTCCTGCAGGATTTGGTATGTAAATGCTTGCATAGGATGCTTGGAATGCTTGGATAGGTCCGGTAGATTCCGATAGATTCCTACGGACCCTTGAACTCCGAACTCCTCCCACAGGAGCCGATGACCAACTCCTTCAGGAAGCTGCTTCGCCGAAACCTCATTGTGCAAAGCCTGCTTTCGGTTCGTCCAAGATTCCTTGTTTTTCACCTGTCTGTCGTGGGTGGTGGCGTCATCTTGTGAGGTGAATCGCGCTCACTTCAATCACAGAGATTCTTCCCAGTGCTTGGCTCTCAGCAAAGAACATTGCAGTATATGTGATCTCTACATGTCTCTATATCCACAAGAGACTTTCTACCATAATTCAGAAGGATTGTTGAAAAGTGAATGATGCGAAGGTCCCACTTTGCGATGTCCTTTCGCATTTGGAGGCAACTTCTGTCGTCGGATCCATTCAGATTTCATAGAAGACGATATGACGTGGACGTTTACAGATATGGGCATTTGCCGCATTGAAGGCCTTCAAAGCCAGTAGCAGTCTGAGACATCTGTGTGTCGTGCTGTGTGACTGTGGGAACTTTGAGCATCAAACAAACAATTTTGTGCTTTGTAGGCCAAATCCATCTCTTAGATCTCTTAGTCTTAGTCCTCCAATGCAGTGGTGTCTTAAAGGAGAACGCTCTAAGGTCGGGCAAATTGTAATTGTTGATGTGGATTCTTCCGATCGGGGTTGGCCACAGCCTCACTCCGCTTTGCTTCTATTGGACACTTTGAATCGCTTTAGCAGTTAATAACATGTCTTCGTTTCGCATATATTTTCTATCGTATCACAGTATCAACCCGCAGTGTATTAGCACTGGATATGCTGAGCACCATGTCACCAAGACTTTCAGGACTTGTCGCAGCTCTCAGACCCACCTGTGGCATTTGCTGGGAGACTTTCAGGAGCGACATGAGGCTCACATGCAGCGACTGGCAGTGCCCGACTTGAGCGGCTAAGAAAAGTGCTTGAAGCCAGCTCTGTGGCTAAGTCACTTCGCAGAACTGGAGCCTTTGCCAGGAGGACTTTAGCCCAACGATGCTCCTGATGTCATTCCCCTAGGATTCACGATCTGCATGCAGAAAAGTATACACAGGTTCTTGAGACTGATACTCTGAATCAGATTTGCAAGCGAGGCTCGATCCTGCTCCAGCAGCTCAAGCTGACACAATGAAGACATTACAGCCTGGCGCTCTGTAAATGGTCTCCCTGGTGCACAACCTTCGCATATTTTTGCTCTTTGATCCTGAATGCGTAGCGAAGGGTTCTTGTTTTCTTGGGAGGGGGTCTAGGGGTGGAGCCTTGTTTGCAGTGATTGTTATCGCGGGGCGTCCCTTGATCGTTAATCCCATCTCCCTGTGCCCATAGCGAATACGGCAAAACGTGGCATTTTGAAGGTGTGCACTGTCATTTTGCGTGGCAGGCGTGGCACTTGGTGAGACCCAGGCGTGAACTTGTCGCAGGTTGCTAACCGCGTCCTACATTCCATGCCTATAGCGGAAGCTGCAACACGTTTAATTTTCGAGGGTTGCGAAGATGCTTTTGTGTACGGAGTGAGTATGGAGGGCGTATGGAGTGTAGAGAGTGTAGGGTGGGGAGTGCAGGGTGTGGATGCTAGAGTGTAGAGCGTAGAGTGTGGAGTTTAAAGTGTAGAGTGCAGTGCAGATGTGTAGGCTGTAAGGTGCAAATGCGGTTTGTATTGCGCGTAGTGTGTATATAGTGTAGAGTGTCGAGTGCATAGTGCAGAGTGTATATAGAGTGTAGAGAATAGAGCGTGAAGTGTAGAGTGTTGAGTGTGAAGTGTGAAGAGTAGATTGTGGAGTGTGATGTGTAGAAGGCTCAGTCTCCTCATTCATGGGTATGTATAGAAATGCATTCGGGTTCAGGGATTCTACCTCTCTGACCTTTTTGTTGAGCCATGTTGAGCCCAGGTTTGGCCAAAGATTACAGTCGTCCTTACTCCGCTTCGGGCCACGCAGCAACCTCGGGATGTAAGCCATGAGTCCATACTTGTACTGACTTATACTTGCCTCCTTTCTTTCAGAGAACAAGAAGCAGAGAAACAGAGAAAGAACATGAAAGAAAATAAACAGAGAGAAAGACAGTAAACAAACCAGTCTTTGTGCAGAACACCGCCAGGTCACATCGGATCTGCAGATGCATGGCATCAAGACGTATCTCTCTCAGGGATTTTTCAAGCGCCACAGTGTACCCTCTGAATCTCCAGCACTTTTATTTTGAGGCAGCAAAAGACGTGGCTGACCCATTGCGAGCAGCGCCCTCGTTGAGAATTGATGCTAATTGAACAACATTCGCAGAACATGCCCATGAAACTCGAGGAAACGCAAACTTCAGAAGATCCTCAAGAATACTGATGACCTGTGCGACAAATGTTGTCCAACTTTGTGCCACAAGTTTTGAGGAAGAATTGGCTCGATTGCAGAAAGAGACCAGTGAGGCATTAGTTGATTTGGTTGCAGCCTTGTGATGCATTGTGATCCCTTCTGATGCCTTGTGCTTTGCTGGTCGGAAAGTTGCCACACCAAGTCCCACTTCGAAAGCCTTCGCAGGTGCTCGACGAAGTCCAAAAGATGAAGCTTCAAATTGAGAAGAAAAGTAAAGAGATTGCAGAGGCCAAAGTGTTGCCTATCTCCGATCATGTTGTCAAGTGATGTCAAGTAACGTGAAGTGATTTCAAGTGCAGATGCAGATCATTTATGATCATTTCAATTCCAGAGCTCCTCAGATTTTCATAGTTCTCCTTGGGCATCGCCGCACTGATTTTTCTTGCAGCTCCGAAAATGTTCTGTCCGCTCAAAGCCTCTGCAGCAGCACGTGCACCCAGTATTTTTTAAAACCACATCTACCAGCCAAAATGATGCAAGCGTGTTTTCAACTAGAAGCTTGGAGAGGTTTGCAAGCTTTGTATTGGCAATGTGGAAACACTTGAGAATCTATATGGTTGTAGCAGTCATAACACAAGTGGCACAAGTATGCACAAGTATGCACAAGTGTCAAATTTTAGGAAGACAATGGAAGTGACAAAGGAAGTGAGAATGGAAGACCCGTGCTGAGAACCAGGCTCTACTCTCCCTGTGCTGAGGTCACCCAAAGCTCAGCGAACTCCGCTTCTCCAAGCCCAAGCAGGTGTCAAGTTTCCGAAGGCCGGACAGACCATCTCAAGACCTGTAAACTCACACAGACACAAACACATACACACATGATCACACATGATCACACATGATCACACATGCACGATAGAATTGAAATGATTTTGGGCGTGAATATGTGTGAACACGTCTATTTGACTCTCTTTCGCAACTCTTGCCACACCTCCCGCTCTTGTCGCATGATATGTCAACAGTGCTCTGTCCGCTTCAGTCCAAACAATCTGCAAGAAGCGGCTGCGTGTTGACGATGCTTAACGCCTCTCCTGACACCTTTTAACCATACCTTTTAGCCATTTTTTGAGTGCTTCAAATTCTTCAAGTGCTTTGCACATGCTTTGGGATCTTTGGGTCTGAAGAACAGGCATCCCCTCCACCCCAGCCTCGTCAACCTCGTCAACCTCGTCAACCTCGTCAACCTGCAGGCTCGCTGGCTCGAATTCCACTCTGTTTGTCATTTTTGTCTAAGTTCTTAGCAGCTTGGCTTGGCACCATCTTCACATTCTGGACAGATGTTGATGTTCTGATATCATGCTGCTGACATCTTCAGCGGCTTGAGTACAGCAGACTTGAGTGAAGATGAGCAGATGTGAAGATGGGAAGGTGTGAAGATGAGCAGATGTGAAGATGAGCAGATGTGAAGATGAGAAGATGTGAAGATGGGAAGGTGTGAAGATGAGCAGATGTGAAGATGGGAAGGTGTGAAGATGAGCAGATGTGAAGATAAGAGGATGTGAAGATGAGAGGATGTGAAGATGAGCGGATGTGAAGATGAGAGGATGTGAAGATGAGAGGATGTAAAGATGAAAAGATGTGAAGATGAGAGGATGTGAAGATGAGAGGATGTGAAGATGAGAGGATGTAAAGATGAAAAGATGTGAAGATGAGAGGATGTGAAGATGAGAGGATGTGAAGATGAAAAGATGTGAAGATGATGAGAAGATGTGAAGATGAGAGAATGTGAAGATGAGATGTGAAGATGAGAAGATGTTTTACAGACCCCCACTATTGGAAGAACCCTGCGCTCAGACGCTCTCGGGAAAAAGCGTCTGTGTGTAAAAGTGTTTGCGATGCAAACTATTGTCTTGCACTTCTCACTATTTTGTCTTGATACTCCTCTTCTCGACTGCCTATAACACAGCTTTCATATATCGTTTCTAATATTGCGTCTCCATACTAACAAGAGAAGACCCTGCTCCTCTACGCTCTCGGGCCATCCGTCGTCTAGTTTGTTCAATTTCTTTCAATGCCCCCTTGAATTGTATCTCCTCCCAGTATATAATTGTTTGATATTGTTTGCAAGGTTCATCCCGAGGATTTTGCATGCCTAGCGCCGTAATGGCACTGCTTGTGCTCTTCTTTCAATGCCTTTTCACATTTGATTTGTCCAAATTGTGTTGCATTGGTGCGATGCTTCTCCCGACTTTTTTTGCAGTACGTTTTCAAGTAGTTTTTTTAAAATAAATCATTCTTCATTGCGTTCCTGTGTCGCCAATCACTTGCTACATTTCCATGCATTTCCCTCAGCACCCTTTCAGTATGCTTTATGCCTGTTTGGAAACCAAGTCCACCAAACTTGAATTATGTCCACCCCAGAGGCTTGAGTGAGCGTAATTAATGTCCGGGCTCTATACAGCACAGGTAGGCTCCCACAATGACGCAGAAACATAAGCCTGAATGCAAATTCTGCCAGCATGTTCAGCAACTTCTACCCTGCACATGGCCTTTGACAAAACACATATAGAAAAAGTATAGAAGGACAAACTATGACTGTGAGTAGAAGGACTCACACTGTTTTTGTTGCAATGCAGCCGTCCTCGTCCGAATTTGCATCTTTAGCTTCATTTTCATCCTCAATTTCTCTCTTTATCTTGCTCTTTCTCTTTCTCTATTGATCTATTGATCTTCTTCATCATCATGCTCATCATCATCGTCCTCCTCCTCATCACCGTCATCACCACCGTCATCACCATCGTCATCACCATCGTCATCGTCATCGTCATTGTCCTCGTCCTCGTCATCGTCATCACCATCACCCATCACCATCACCATCTTGATCATCGTCCTTGTCTTGATCTCAAGACTGTTGGAAACATCGAAGTACCCACCTCAAAAGATACAAGACCTGGCATACTTTGTGCCAACAAGATATGGCATTGGAAGATGTAAATTACGTAGCGGGTCTCGGGAAACAATTTTTCTGTCGCACTAAATCGGAGAAGATCAGCCACCATTTGCATTTTGCTCAGGTTTTTCTCGGTAAGTTGACATGCGGTACGACCACACTGAAAGATTCAGAATTTGTGCACGTCAATTTCCAAGATGAAAATACCTACCTTTCTTCCATCTCAAGTACTAGTATTTGCTCATTATTTGCTCATTATTTGCTCGATTTTGCTCATGGTTTTGGTATGTTTTGGTGCTGAAGCAAACACTGCATGCCAAGCCAGGCAGCATCCTTGTGCCCCGGGCCCGGACCCCTCTGTTGCCTCCTTAGCCTACAGGAACACAGTCTGAAAATGTCTGAAAGACATGATCCAATGAAGAAAACCAACAAGGTCGTTGCATGTCGTTGCTGTTGTTGCTGTGATATGAGTCTGATATGAGGGATCTTACGCAGAAAGAACAGTCTTGGTCTTTAGTCCAATATTGCAGCCATCGGCAAGATACAGTAGATTTGTGATGATTTGTGTAAGCATCGCATGGCCGCATGGATTCATATTATGCTGAACAGATTGCGCAAGTAGCACTGGGAAGAGATTCGAAGTCTAAATTTGTCGAGAGGGCCCTCTCTGCTTGGCAGGGTAATTTAGAAGGATCGGTGAAGGGACTTTGTTATGATTGCACGAAGACAAGAGAACTAAGAGAACATAGTTTTGCATAGTTTTGGTGAGGCTTTGTCAGATTGTCTCGCTTCTGTTCGTCCTGGCTGACAAAACTGGTTGGCTAACAGTCATTAACAGTCCTGTTCTTGAGTCCTTTGAACTGCACCGGCTGAGACCGTCTTCACGGCCTCGACTTTGGAACAGTTCGCTGAGCTCTGTCATTGTCGTGGACCCAGATCCCACGAAGCAAACCAGTTTGATGAGGCAATGCCATGCAGTGCCATGCAGTGTCATGCAATGCCTGCCACAATGCACCTGGAATTCTTGGGTCCTGAAATTTGAAGCAGACCATTTTGATTTTGGCATTGAATTAAATTGACTTTGACTGGCAGGCTGATCACCCTCGTTCTCAGAGTTCAAAAGGCGGGCTTGTTTATTTGGTCAACAAAGTTCAGATATGTAAACTCTGGAATACTACTGGAATGTTGCCGAATTGCATCGAATTGCCATTGCTTTGCAGTTGGTGGTGCCCGGCCAGAAGCCAAGGAGATGTATTCTGCGGTGCTGATTTCGTGGAACTCCTTGGCATTGTGGGGTTGTGATCTGATATATATATGAGGTTTCTTCGGGCGCCACTGAGACAAGCACGGCCACAGCAAGCATATGGTCCAGACAGGCCCATCCAGACCCAACCAGACACAAGGTGAGGCCCCCTCCACTTATAAGGCGGGTTTATCAATCCCATTCACATCCATTAACTATGATAATAAATGATAATCAACGATAATCATGTATCATTGATATCATGATATATTCCCCATGAACCGTAGTTAACCAATGTTAAACAAGTTAGAAGTCAACTCAGCAATCCAGGGGGCCTCACCTTGCAGACAGTTGCCGCTGGAAGCGACTGGAATGTCCTGCAGTCATACCGTTCCAAGATGACTTGGATGTTTGGATTCACTTTGGATGTTTTCTTTGAGTTTTCTTTGAGTGTTGCTGGATCAGACAGGTCAGACAGGTTGGGATCTCCAATGCAGGCTGGGTGTCGGCTGAGACAGCTTTTGAGAAATGTAGTGAGGTTCCTTGGAACGACTTTCCAATTCAATTCTATCCAATTCTGAAGTCATGTGCTGTGAGCTGAAACCAATGCTGGCTGTTTGACAAACACAGAGCATCTAATCTTAAAGAAAAAGCATCAAAGAACATGGCAAGAACATCAAAGAACATCAAAGAACATCAAAGAACTCCCTTTCCATCCATTTCCTGTTTTTCCTCCGTCCAGGAGTGGGTCTATTCATAAAGGCAACAACGAACCAGCGCACGCATTGTTTTTTCTCCATTTTATTATCGCGAGAAAGTGAAATCAGTCCTGAAGGCAATGGAGCGGGCTCGCCTATCGCCACCTCAGGACGAGCCAAAAAAAGCA